GCGCTTCTAGAGTGGCGCGGACACTCTTTATTACACTCATTTTAAATTTTTCAAATTTTTATCAATTAGCCAATTTAAAGAAAACTGTCGTACAATGCGGTGTGGCTCTAGACCAAAAATCATTGTATTTCGAGCAAGTTGTTTTCATTTACCGACTGCAAAAGGGTTTTTTCCCCAAAGCTTTTCTTATCCTCATAGTCATACTGCCATGCCTTACCATACCAGGTAATAAAAAAACAACCGTCAGAAAATTGAATAGGCTTAGCCGTGGTGGGCATCGCTTAATTAGCTCAGGAAGTCACTCCGAATGACTTTGTTGCCTGCCAATGTTTGAATAACCCTTTAAAAATAATTTAATGTGTGTTGTAATAATAAAATAAAACCAAGTACGAACAATCCAAACCATTAGACAAAATTCGAAGTCCTAAAAAAACGGTATAGGCAAAATAGTGTAATAAAGCAAAATAGTGTATAATCAGCATATGGACTGTTCAACGTGTACAAAATTTTTACCTTAAATTTATATAAAATATAGAATGTTTTTACTTTATAGCGTGAGTGTATTTCTATCCATGTGGGACAAGCCGGTGTTCAGATAGGTAATGCCTGCTGGGAATTGTACTGTCTGGAACATGGTATCAAGCCTGATGGTCAGATGCCATCAGATAAAACTATTGGAGGTGGAAATGATTCTTTCAACACTTTCTTCAGTGAGACTGGGGCTGGTAAACACGTACCAAGAGCTGTATTTGTTGATTTAGAACCCACTGTTGTAGGTGAGGATTCACTCATAAATATAATATTTGGAATTAATTACCGAAAAATAGGCCTAGATCAAGTATAGACAAATCTAAAAAAAAAAAAAACTCAAAAAAAAATCATAAGATATTTAACCGAAAAATGGTTGATGTTGATGTTGTATTTGTACTGAATCTATATATAGTTGATACGACACTGAAATGTTTAGCCAACCAAATGAAAGACATTAAAAAATCTTCCATTTAATTTATTTAGATGAGATTCGAACGGGTACCTATCGCCAACTGTTCCATCCGGAACAACTTATTACTGGCAAGGAAGATGCTGCTAACAACTATGCTCGTGGTCATTACACCATTGGAATGGAAATAGTTGATATTGTCTTGGATAGAATCAGGAAACTGGTAACTTTGATGCCATATAGATGACAAGCCTAAACACAATGTGGACGCCGGACGGACGGACGGGCGGGGGCGACGACCATATTCGACCACATTTCAATGTGAGCGTATAAAAATGAATAAAGGCTATGCTTTCTATACGCCCATTCCGTCCCACTCTTCTGATTCTCGCTGCATTTTTATGTGGACGTATATTGTCGTCGTCTCTGTCCGTCCGTCCACAATTTCTTTGTGGACACTCTATAGGTCACAATGTTGATTCGATTTTGACGAAACTTGAAATATAGGTATATATCCCGAAGACCTCGGTTTCTTTAGATATTGGCATGTATCGGACGGTACCTTCATGGATTATGGCCCCTGATTGTACGAAAAATCTTGTTTTTAACTTTTGGACAATCTGGAGGTTACAATTTTTATCCGATTTCCAAAATCGCTCAAATATATCACCAGTACACCTTAATGACGGTTAAGTCCGAATTTCGAGAAAAGCGGAGCGCAATTACTCGTCAAAATTTTAGTAATACTAAGGTTGTGGACCCTCTAGAAGTCACAATGTTTATCCGATTTGGACGAAACTTGAATTATAGGTTAAAACCCCAAAGTTCTCGGTTCCTTCTGATATTCGCGCATATTGGAGCGAAACCTCCTAGATTGCACGATTTTTTTCCCCGATTTCAAAAGCCGTTCTAATGTATCACTGTTACACCTTAATGACGATTGAGTTCGAATTTCGTGAAAATCAGACCGAAATTGCTCGAACAAATGGCCGCTCTTCATACGCAAATAGTATCAAGGTTGTGGACCCTCTATACGTCACAATTTTATCCGATTTTAATGAAACTGAAAGCTGCGTTTTCAGAAAAGTATTTATCGGGTGGTTATTTCCAATAAAAGTATGGCAATTTTGGTATATATGGAAAGAAGAAATATCCAATCTTACTAGAAAAATACTGGTTTCCCTGAAAAACACCCATAGAGCGCATACAGGACAAAAATGTAAGGGTTTCCCTGATAGACAGCCCGACGATTAGGAGTGTCTGCACGCGTGACGTCGAAGGTTGCACGCGGAGATTGAGCGCTTGATATACATGTTGATAAACTTTATGAAGAATTAGACGTACAACACTTTCTGAGATATTTGTAATAAATAGACAGCAATTAAAAACAACATCGTCTTGTGTATGCAATGAATTCTCCTCCGACTTCGCTTCTGTTGCTAGGTACGAGAGAGGTAAGTCACGTGACACAAACATGACCTCTTTTGATCGATTTTTTATAGCCAGGGTATTCCCCGACAATTGTAATGTTTTGAAAAGGATTTGAAGCAAATTTATGATAAATTAATTAGATTGAATATGTTTTTAGTCCAAATATATCATCAAATCACCCATAGTACCGGGAATGTATCTTTAAAATACATCATTATATCCCCAAGATCTCGGTTCCTTTCGATATTCGCGTATTAGCTTGTGGACCCAATTAGGTCACAATTTTTATCCGATTTTAAAAATCGTTCAAAATATATCACCGTTACACTTAATGGCGGTTGTGTTCGAATTTCGTGAAGATTGGGGCGGTACTGACCGTTTGACCCAATTTCATTTCAAATGTCTCTAATGTTGGTGGGCTAAACGGGAGTCAATAGTTTCGGTGTTTAACAGTAACAACACTAAAAACAAAACCCTAAATCAGTAACCAAGCACATTTTCATATATTGGTTATTTTTTTTTGTTCCGTTTTTTTTTTTTTTTTTTTTTTTTTAGTTTTAACATTTATATATTCATATATTTAAGGCTGATCAATGTACTGATCTTCAAGGTTTCTTAATTTTCCACAGTTTGGGTGGTGGAACTGGCTCTGGATTTGCGTCACTTCTGATGAAAAGGTTGTCTTTTGATTATGGCAAGAAATCCAAATTGGAATTTGCCATCTACCCTGCCCCGCAGGTACGATAAAATTAATATTGTTAACATACACTACCGTCTACCGTACGCTAAGGGATGTAGGGTAGATAATATTCAGAGTTGACCAAAAATGTTTCAAAACTGTGCTTTTCTCCATTTATAATATGTAGTCTGTAATTTATTTATTTTATTTTTTTAGGGGGGGGGGGCGCTTATAGTCGGATCCATTCACTGATAATTAGTACTTTCATATTCATATTATTTTGTTACTTGCTGTGTGATGTGTCCTGTCTGCGGGTTTGTCTTCTGTTTGTGTGTGGTGAATTTCTCTTGCATATACCTTCCGCCTTGCCAGGGAACAAAAGCTGCCAATCTATCTTGATCATTTCATTTATTTAACTTTCAATTTGTCACTTTTAAGGTTTCAGCTGCTGTGGTTGAGCCTTACAACTCTATCTTGACAACACATACTACATTGGAGCACTCTGATTGTGCTTTCATGGTTGACAATGGGGCCATTTATGACATATGTCGAAGAAATCTTGACATTGAACGTCCAACATACACCAACTTAAATAGGTTGATTGGTCAGATTATTGGCGCTATTACTGCTTCTCTCCGATTTGATGATGCTTTGAATGTGAATTTAACTGAGTTCGAGACAAATTTGGTACCTTGCCCACGTATCCATTTCCCTTTGGCTACTTACTCTCCTGTCATCTCTGTTGAGAAGGCCCATTACGAACAGCTGTCTGTTGCAGAGATCACCAACGCCTGCTTTGAACCTGCCAACCAGATGGTAAAATGTGATCCTCGTCATGGAAAGTACATGGCCTGTTGCATGTTGTACCGTGGAGATGTTGTACCAAAGGATGTCAATGCCGCCTTTGCTACTATCAAGACCAAGAGAACCATCCAATTCGTTGACTGGTGTCCAGCCGGTTTCAAAGTTGGCATCAACTACCAACCACCGACTGTTGTACCAGGTGGTGATTTAGCTAAGGTACAACGAGCCGTTTGTATGTTGAGTAATACCACTGCCATTGCTGAGGCCTGGGCGCGTCTTGATCATAAATTTGATTTAATGTATGCCAAGAGAGCTTTCGTCCATTGGTATGTTGGAGAAGGAATGGAGGAAGGTGAATTTTCAGGGGCTCGTGAGGATTTGGCTGCTCTAGAGAAAGATTATGAAGAAGTTGGCCTTAATTCTGTTGAATTAGAAGAGGAAGGTGGAGATGAATATTAGACTGGTGATTGTTCATAAATAAAGCTCAAAACAAAACACTGTTAAAATTTCATTTAATTTAATTATATTTACTACTGTTGGAATTGAAATTTCACTACTAATTTAATGGACACGCAAGAAATATTATCTTATTTATAAAGCAAAAAAAAAAACAAAACAAACTCCAAACAACCTGATAACCCAGCCCCAAACGGATTAGATGCTTGTCATGTTAATTTTAAAGGGACAGTCCCGATTTTAACAGAGTCCCAGAAATAAAAGTCTATGTACATATACAATTTAATCGCCAAAATATAGAGGAATGATGTTTTTACCTTGTCTCAAAATTTCAGCTCAAAATATTGAGTCGTTTAGACGTGAACGTCAAAACCGCTTATCCGGACACATAATCCTTTTAAGATGTCAGGTCCATTTTTTCATTGGGTGACCTGATAATCTATTGCCATTCCTTTAGAAGTCTATACAGTGCATGGCCCATGTGCTGTACTTAATAACGAAAGGTGAAAGGTAAATTTCACCTACACATATTTTTTTATAAAATGAAAGTCTGGGTTTATCCAGACACTGTATAATACGGCTTAGAGCACCGGTCTCCATTTCCAGATGAAGACTGACAGGTTTAATTTGGTCGAAAATGTATCACCTATACTGAGTTAGTTGCTTGACCCTAAGGTAAGGGATTTTATGGGCTTTTAACACAAAATTAGGCAGTTTTATTCTCCAAAATATAATCGGGATTGGCCCTTTAAAGGTAAATAGAATTATGTTGAGACCTGCCTTTGTATCTGAAATAATTTAATGATAGCAGGTAGTTTAAAGACTGGTTTGGGGGGAAGCAGTAAACAAAATAATATATAAACGCTTGTCGTTTATTTGACGCACTATAAATGTTCCTGACAAGGTACCAAACAAGCATTTGCCATGCAAGTTACGGCCACATTTTGCAAGAGATGGACAGAGAACGACCTAAAAAAATAATAAGATTTTTTTTGGACAACCAGGGGCCATAATCCTGGAAATTAAGGTCTGATATGTGCGAAAGAAGGAACCAAGATCGTTGGGTTGTAAACATACATTTAAAGTTTCATCAAAATCGGATAACCGCAAGCTAAAAACGTGATTTTTCTTACAATCAGGGGTCATAACCCATGAAGTTATGGTCTGATAAATGCCAATATCGAAAGTAACCAAGATCTTTGGGAGATAAACCTATCTTATTTCAAGTTTCATCAAAATCGGATCAAAATTGTGACCTGTAGAGTGAACAGACGTCTGGATGGTCCAGACTAGGGGCGACAACAATATACGTCCACTTGAAAATGTGGCCATATAAAAACCATGGACCTTATAATATATTCTAAGGTCCAAGTAAAAAAACATTAAACCCCAAGAAAATGGTGACGAAATCTAAACTTAGGCATCCCCATATTTATATCTCTTTTTGTTACCTAATTTCATAGCTAGAGGGCGGCTGAAAAGTTCTAAGCCTATCTGTGAAAGACCTGTACAAAGTCGATGGCATCCATTTATATTTCTACATAATCCCCTTCCAGATGTACAAATTGCCAACAATGTTGCAAGGCCTGGATGTCCGTCAGGAAGAAATTTTCTTAGGCCACCCTAAAAAAACCTGATGTGACGTCATCATTACTAGGAAAATGAAAACCGGCTCATTCCGTTTTCATTTTTGGAAACAGGTCTCATTCATGGTTACAAATTTAGCAAAAGATTACCAGAATCTGCTTCAAAACGGTGCAGATTGTCATGAGACGTCAGGAATCTGACATGTTTCTGATCTGCAGTCAAGAGCTTTGGCGCTCATCTTGCAGAAACTTTTGTCATTCCTAACTTGTTGGCGACAATGTGCCCAAAACACAGGCAATATGTTGAGTGGTCAATGGTTGATCAGCCATCAGTGTCATGCACATGGGTAATGTTGTCTTGAATTGTTGCTGTTTCAGTATGCTGGTCATTCCCAAGGCTCTCTTTGCAACTCTTAAATTCCGCAACTTACTTTTTTACTGTGGAAAGGAAGGGGCATCATCTCTGAAGAGTAAACCATGTCGGCATTTATCTGTGATGCGGTGGGCCCTTTCAGGTACTTGATGACTACCCTATAGCCAGTTTTGTCCATTTCTGGTGATTTTAATGCGTAGGTTCAGAAGATGGTCTGGATGGTACGAAGACAATAATAACACTACAGTTACAGTTCTTATGTCTATGGTTCATTCTATGATTGTACTTGTTGGTGGAAAAAGTTTGTTTCAACCCAACTGATCTATACTTTTCAGGCTTACAACTTTTCAGCCAGCCCTCGCAGATCATTCCTACACAGACAGTATGGTAAATTATGCAGGACTTTTCAACAGTGGGAGGAAATCAAATGTGGTGAAACATATATTATGGACAGAGATTATCAACTATTCCCATCAGTTTATATCCAATAAATGGAGACAAGTAATTATTGAGGAATATAAAGTTGACATGAAGCACTAGGTAAATTAAATATGGAAAATATTGAGCAGACGTACCTTTCTTAGTTATTTTTTTGCATAATCATAAATATTATTCAGAATATGATAGTGTGCTACATAATGTAATATTATCAAGAAATATTTCTGATGAAGTCTGTTAAAGGACAATATTGTTGTCAGTCATTATCACACATGTGAGCAGAAATTCGCCCGTGTATCTGTTATCACTCGTCACTTCAGTTAGTTATATAGAGGGATAGCTGGTGTTTTCCTTCTGATTGTTGAAACCTTCATTACGCATTTATCGTAACAATGATCTCTGTGTTAAAATTATATTTAGAACGTGTTTAACCAGTTCTATCACATATGTGGTAATGACTGACACCAATATTGTCCTTTAATAGGGAATGGAAGCTTTTTGACCCTATTTCCTGAAAGTGGCAATGACTTCTTGTGACCCAATTCTGGCCTAAGTTAACACCAACAGAAATGTCAAACGGGTAAAACTTTGAAACAGAAAACCTGCTGCAGACACAAATCACAAGAAAAACTTCTCTACAATGTAACTAAAGTAAACTTGCAACTACAAACTTATATCTACAATGAAAACTCATTTCACCTTGGTTTTACTTTTTGACTTTTTAACCTGAAATGAATAAAACAATAAAACCCTTGTGGCTGATTAGCATGACTGTTTTTGTCAATATTTGAATTACCCTCAATTTTTTGGAAATCATTTAAATTTTGAATATGATGTTTAGAATGTGCATAATTATAACATATCTATCCTTTTTTTGTTATTGGGTGCTATTGCCAAAAGATTCACTCTTGTCGGTGATTAGAATAATATTGTATTTAATCAAGATATCATATATCAAATATATCATAAGAAAATTTTAGAAAAATTGAGAGCTCCCCTCCCCACACAGATTTTTCTCTTTTGTTGTCACACTCAGAAATAATCAATAAAACTCAGCTATGATTTCATTGAAGAATGACAATCTTCTATAACACTCTAAAAAGTAAAGGTTTTAATTTGTTTGCATACTGTACATGTATTTCCACACTAGAGACATGATTACCAAGTGTATAACATTTTTAGAGGCATACCTTCTTTTTAGAATCAAATTTGTCCTGAAACTTCTTCAGATCAGCAGTAAATAAAACCTAAATTATTCAAAAATATTATTTATAGTCAAGGGACAACACAGTAAATATTAAAGATAGGTTGCCAGGCAACGAAACATACGCCCACAGCAGCTAAATTGTCCGGGCAGTCAACAAGAGTTATCGCATATTTTTACTTTTTTCGGTAATGAAACATTTATAATACACTAAAATCTGATTAAGGGCAACAACTCAGAAAACCATTAGAATTTGTTTGGTTTTTATAAAGTTCTGCCCCATGCTAACGTTTTGTATACAAAACTTTTAATACTGTATCATGAATTTAGCTGTTCCAAGTCATAAAAATTCATTGAAAATCAATATACTTGTTCGTCTCAAGATCTTAAACTCTGTGTATCAATCTGCAGTCAATCGGATATTAACTTTGGCCTCTAGAGCGTCCATAAGATTTTTCAAAGTGATCAAGGGCCATAACTTTGGCAGTAATTATCAGAAATCTTTGAAAATCAATAGGATTCTTCACCTCGTGACCTCAAACACTGTGTATAAATTTAAAGTCAATCAGATATTGACTTTAGCCTTTAGAGCATCCACAAGGTTTTTTGAAGTGATCAAGGGCCATAACTCTGGCAGTAATTATCGAAAATCACTGAAAATGAATAGACTTCTTCGTCTCATGACCTTAAACAAGGTATAAATTTAAAGTCAATCGGATATTAATTTTCGTCTCTAGAGCGTCCACAAGATTTTTTGAAGTGGTCAAGGGCCATAACTCTGGCAGTAATTATCAGAAATCGCTGAAAATCAATAGGCTTCTTCGTCTCATGACCTTAAACACTGTGTATAAATTTAAAGTCAATCGGATATTAACTTTGGCCTCTAGAGCGTCCACAAGATTTTTTGAAGTGGTCAAGGGTCATAACTCTGGCAGTAATTATCGGAAATCGCTGAAAATCAATAGGTTTCTTCGTCTCATGACCTTAAACACTGTGTATAAATTTAAAGTCAATTGGATATTAACTTAGGCCTCTAGAGTGTCCACAAGATTTTTTGAAGTGATCAAGGGCCATAACTCTGGCAGTAATTATCGGAAATCGCTGAAAATCAATAGGCTTCTTCGTCTCATGGCCTTAAACACTGTATATAAATTTAAAGTCAATCGGATATTAACTTTAGCCTCTAGAGCGTCCACAAGCAATTGTGGACGCTGGACCGACGGACGGGGGCGACGACAATATACAACCACATTTCAATGTGGGCGTATAAAAAAGAAATTTGCTGCACACATTTGCAGTAGTGCTGATTGAAGTGTATGCATTAAAACTGCAAAGATCATGGTGGATTTGTGACAGATTACAAGATAGAGTTATGTAAATGATAAAAGAATGGATCAATAATATGATAAATTAGCAATGATTAAATAAGAGTTACTTATTTAAAATAAGAGCAAGAAAAAACTTACAGAGTGAGCCCAACCAGCATATTCTCCCCATAATCCTCTAAAATAATCACCTAAATTAATTGATAATAAATATATATATATTAATATCTTAAAACAACATAGTTCTGTATGATATATTTATATATGGTTTAAACAATATTTTATTTCTTAGTGAGTCGCAGATATATTTAACATCCGTACATATGGATACAATAACAAGCATAACTGCTTATGTAAAATAGCTTCCATAAACAATGATCATTCAGAAGTTAGACGACTAGATATATTTGATTTACATATTTTACAGGGTGCAGGTAAAGATCCCTTGGAAAGAAAGTACAATGCACATACAAGTAGATTATAATGGTAGATATATTCAGTAAGATGATGTCGATGCCAAGGCCCAAAATTAGTTCGCCAATGTATGCAGTGGACCTTTACTTTTAATAGGATTTAATGTACACTCGACACAAACTAGGACATTTTGGGACTAACATAAAAATATGGTTCAATTTGTTCTGACTGCTGCAGCCAGGACACCCAATATTGCAATAATTTTATGATTTTATTTATTATGTTGTATATGTTTGTGCTAAATAAATCTATCCATCTCCCACAATGACAAACAAATTACATTCGTCTGAGTGTGATGGACAATGGTCAGAATATGCCCCATTTTCACTGTTGATGCAAGGGAAGGATCCGAGAGACGTTTTCAGCCAGGGCCCCATAGGACCCTACTCCTTGTCACATACAAGCTTGGAATTGACTCTATGATCAATTTAAAGTACACGTGTTAAACCATTCGGTCATCCAACCGGCCAACCCCTTAGTGTGCTGGTCATCATTCTAATTTTAACAATACACATGTTAATGTAATTAGCATTACCACATGGTTTTGTTTATCATTATCATGACAAAGCCTTGTGCGGTATGAATTATTAATAAACAAAATTAAAACAGTGTTTTAAAACTTAATAAACACAAAAAATTAGGTTGAGGTAAAGTACGAAATTACCATACCTATTTCATCATAAAGTTTATCAGTAAGAGATTTAGAAACATTTAACTTGGGTATATAATGGCGAGCTGCTATCTGCCAAACGTGTGTATCTACTGGGATAGAACCTGGCTGGTCCATTGACATCAAACATACACAATCAGCTACCTGAAACATAAAAACATTGTAAAAAAACTGGTAGGTGTTTGAAACTTTAACTTTCACATTATAGCATTTGTTCTGATTCAAAGGACAGCATCTGATAAGCTAGATAACAAACCTCATCTCTCAACCCTCTGTGTTTCGAGATTAGAGATGGTGCTATATAGTTCCACATAGCAAAGCCCAGCGCAAATCACATCGGCCTCAGTAAGCAAAATTGACAATATTTTTCATCAAAACGACGATTGATTATTGTTATAAAAAATATTTCTGCCACATCCAACTACAATTAAGCATATAATCCTACCTGAAACGGGTATAAATCATCATATTTAAAAACGAGGCGTTAAGCCATTATTAGGAACGCCATTTTTAAACGGGAGATGTATGACAAGTGTATGTCGAATAAAAACAATGCATCATTAATTAAATTGAAACACGAATATTTGGAGTTAGGCGATAGTTGTCACACTACATGCATTAATAAAGAAACTGAGTTTGCCACTTGGAACTAAAGTTCGAACTCAACCATCCTTAGGGTGTAAATGTGATATATTCAAACGGTTTTGGAAATCAGATAAAAATTTTAACCTCTTTAGGGTCCACAGGTAAAAACGTGATTTTCCGTACAATCAGGGGCCATAATTCAGGAAGTTACGGTCCGATATGTGCAAATATCGAAAGGAACCGAGATCTTTGGGTCATAAACTTACATTTCAAGTTTCATCAAAATTAGAAGAAAATTGTGACCTCTAGAGAGTCCACAACCTTGATATATCATATTTTTACGCTATTTGAGTACGAGGGCCGGCCATTTTGTCTGTCAGATTTGGTCCTATTTTTACAAAATTCGAACTCAACCATCCTTAGGGTGTAACGGTGATATATTCAAACGTTTTTTTAAATCGGATAAAAAATATTACCTCTATAGGGTCCACAAGCTAAAAATGTGATTTCTCGTACAATCAGGGGCCATAATTCCGGAAGTTATGGTCCAATATGTGCGAATATGGAAAGGAACCGAGATCTTTAGGTTATAAACTTACATTTCAAGTTTCATCAAAATCAGAAGAAAATTGTGACCTCTAGAGAGTCCACAACCTTGATATATCATATTTTTACGCTATTTGAGTACGAGGGGTAGCCATTTTGTCTGTCAGTTTTGGTCCGATTTTCACGAAATTCGAACTCAACCATCCTTATATTCAAACGTTTTTTTAAATTGCATAAAAATCATGACTGCTATAGGGGCCACAAGCTAAAAACGTGATTTTTCGTACAATCAGGGGCTATAATTCAGGAAGTTATGATCCGATAAGCGCGAATATCGAAAGGAACTGAGATCTTTGGGTTATAAACTTATATTGCAAGTTTCAACAAAACCAGATAAAAATTGTGACCTCTATAGGGTCCACAAGCTAAAAACGTGATTTTTCGTACAATCAGGGGCCATAATCCATGAAGTTTTGGTCCAATACATGCCAATATCGAAAGGAACCGAGATCTTTTGGAGATAAACCTATATTTCAAGTTTCATCAAAATCGGATAAGAATTGTGACCTGTAGAGTGTCCACAAACAATTGTAGACAGGCGGAGAGGGTCGACGGCAATATACGTCCACATGAAAATGTGGGCGTATAAAAATTGTGACCTGTAGAGTGTCCACAAACAAATTGTGGACGGACAGACAGACAGGGGCGACGACAATATACATCCACATGAAAATGTGGGCGTATAAAAAGGTCTCTGATTAGCAAGTATATAGAATAAAACTAAGGCTGTGTACCCTGTCACAACAAATTGTCTTTCGCTAAAGTCATACTTTTTATACATAATATAATGGTAAGCCAAAATCAGATTGATTATAAATACCTAATTGATAATTGGTGATTGTAAATCAGTTTTGTTCTGAAATATTAATAAGCAAACTTGAAGCATTAAAATCGCTGAAGTACAATTTTAGCTAAAGTAATACTGCTTCATATTCACAATCCTAAGACTTTGATAAATTAACACTTTAGATTTGATCAAATCAATAATACTCAAGCCTGATTTATTTTATATGTCACCTTTGCCCCTACTCCACACAGCTTCATCAATGCTTTCTTGACATCTTTATAAGGTAAACCTCTTAACGAATACAGCCATTCATTGGTATGATTATTTACTATATATTTAGAAGTTTGATTAATATATTTAGCGCGATAACCAAATCCCAAATCACGTAATTTCTGCTCTATATCGTCAGCAGCTAACTTATAAATAGCAGGAAACTGATAATACATCTGTCCATCTACTTCACAGATTTCCTCTCCAAAATTCACACAAAGAAGATTGACCATTGATGTAATACGCGAAATGTGATTATTTGATGAGCAGATGAAAGAAAATAAATTTTCAACTGGGTCTTGGTGTAACATTCTAATTCCAGGAAAACTTGTAGAAATTTCTTCAAAATTTGAATCAGCTTCTGACCATTGTTTATAAAGTTGTGTTAAATTGATATTCAGCTGAAAATAATCTTGTATTGTTTTAATATCCAGGTCTTCTATAAAAGGTTCTGTTTTTAATTCCAGTAAGAGTTTTTTGGGTGGTTGAGGACAAGTGGTGGTATTTTTTCTTTTTTTTGAAGAATCTTTAAGCTTTTCTGTTGCAACAGGTAAAATTTCTTTCTTAATTACTGGTTTTATGTCTGATGTACCACGCCTAAAAACTTGATAAAATAATTCTGTAGAAGTCTGTTTTAATTTCCATACTTCATCTTTAATAACTCCAGTCCATTCACCAGGTTTTAATTCTTTCCATCTGTAAAAGAATAAATGAAAGTACAATCAAATAATCCCACTATGCACATATATTCATTAAGGATTCTATAAATGATTTCAGCACTATAAAATCCCTTGCAAACTACAATATTATGAAAGTTGAACCTCTAAACGGAATAATACTCTAAAATTGGTTTAATTGATATTTCCTAAAAAAATCAAATCACACATCGTAACTTTATAGTATTTTTCCAACCTCTTCAATGAATTCTTCATCATGCTGAGGTTTCAACCATGTGAATAAACTTTCCCCCTGCATAACTTGTTATTTGTGTGTGGTGCACATCATATTTATGCTTCATGACGGTGATGGTTAAGCTCTAAAAATCTGTTATTATTATGTTAACATGTACTATATGAAAGTGGTACTAGTAGGGTATGAACAAATATTTTGCAAAGATTTTGTGAATATAGACTCAAGGGATTGGCAAGAAAGTAAGATCTGTGATCACACGGTTTGCTGGTCCTTGTGTCATTGAATAAAATACGTCATCCCTTTAACAGGGTTTCGGTAGGAGAGAGAGAGAGAGAAATGGGGTTTAACATCCACCCAACACATTCCCGGACGAACATGGTTCAATTTTATTTCATTAATTCGATTGCATGTAGGGGTCTATAGCAGTGGAAGGAAACTTAAGGACACAGAAAAACCCACGAGGTTGGACAGGCCACCCTACTCCTTGTCACGTAAAAGCAGGGAATCAAAACTATACCACTTGATTCAATGACAGACCTTATGATGCAATACACATGAGTCAACCATAGGAATAGGATGGTGTATGCAAAGTATGTAATCATGAATGTGCCAGGGAATAACTGATAGATTCGAAGAACCACAGAAACATCATACTTTCCAGTGATGTATAACACAACAACTGGAATTTTGTATTAGGACATGTATTTTGACATTTTAAATACTCGCCGTATTTGCATATTTGAAAAGAGCAATAAAGGTGCCTTTCAGTATTGATACGCAACATGATATCTGGAATTTCGTATTAAGACCTGTATGTTTACTTTAAATACCCCCACCCCTGTCATTTAATAGAGTTTCTTACCACCTGATGTTTTTCAAGGTATGCAAATATGAATGTGCCAGAAAATTATTTACATATTTGAAAAGGGCAATGAACGTGCTTTTCAGTTATATTTAACATGATATTTGAAATTTCGCATGAATTGTATGAAGATCTGTATTTTAACATTGTACTTTTTACATATAATCAATCGACAAGACATTTTAGCAGAGCATTTTATTTAATATTGGCAGCGATACCCTTCTTAGACCAGCTGTGACTTGGAAACGCCCCCCCCCCCCCACCAACACGGTTCTGCGGCCCCCGACTTATAAATATCTTCTCCCAATATGGGGGTAATAATTGAGTAATATTGGGATCCCATATTTTCAAGGTAAGATAACAGCATCAATATTGGTTCGAATGATCCAATAAATGGTGATTGGAAAGTCGAAGACGGGATAGGAAATTGATATACTATATAGAGCTTCACGCCACACCCTTTTATTAATCATGGCATGGACCGTAGGAACTGTCCATAATCATTGTCGCCAGACCTGAAGGACTGTCCACAAGCCAGTGTGGTGTCAATTCTCAGCTCTTTTATACAGACTGGAAATGATTTCCATGCAGAACCTGGCAGCTTTCCTGACATTTTCACACAATCATGCAATCATGTGCAAATTTGTTTATTTTTCCAGAGCGCTGTACAGACAGAGTTACCCCCCTTCAAGAACTTCCGCTTCTGTTTCCATAGTAACGTTTACAAAATGGCCTCCTGAGAAACGAATTGTGCAATTTGTAAAGGTGAATAACACATTAATTAATTTTTATTTTGTTTTTGGTAATTGATAGGTTTGAATAATTTCTTGAGCAATACTTATACGGCAAATCATCATTTTTATACTATGTTCTTTTCTCTGTAAAATTACTGTCATTGGGAAATGAGACTAGACTTTAAAAATTTTGTCATTTCTAATAGTAATTAGCCTATATGTAGGCTATATAATATTATATTAGACTTTTTAATGAAGTAAGCTTACATAGCTCAGTCGATTAATGGATTATATGACATTTGGGTCCCACGACATTTCGAACTGCCAGCTTTTCACCTCGGTGACCTCGGACACAAAATTGAAAAAAATATCCACGACATTTCGAACTCGGGAAGGTGACATTTCGGACTCGGGAATAATTTGAAAAGAAAGTTTGAACACAACAGAACAGTCAAATCAGTTTATGATAAGCCAAACACGATTTTAATATTTCAGTAACGTATTGAATGTTTTATAAGCTTAATATGATTCATTGTATCTGTATCCTACTATTTTTGAATTATATATTTGATATAAAAATAAAAAAATAGCCGATGAATTTATATGCAATAAGCCAAATCATCTAATCAAACAATCCATCCGCCTGCACTTTGAGATGCATTCCTCGACAAGCATGCAATAAAAGGCAGTACCAATCGATAATGCTGGGTGTTGCTACTGCAGTCACGATACTATACATACTGCGATTCAGGTGCTACGATACGATTTGTATCCTGATTCATAACCAGGTCAATATTTACCAAGAAAATAAAAGGGGAAGCGATCATTTTTAGTCATGCCACTGTTGTAGATATAAAACTGTTTTATATCACGATATTGATGTTGATAGGGATCAAAATAAAGACCAAACCAATTTAAGAGTGTTTGTACCTATGGATAATATTATGTGACATGGATAATTAAGAGTGACAGGTTACTTACTGAAGCAACAAAAAAACGTGAAGTAAAATCGTGAAAAATCAATTTGACAGCGTCTCGCGTTACAATACGTGAATCTTGGGAAGGTGAATTTTGATACATCTTTCCCCAGCGGCCAGCATTAGGCTTTTTTATGCCAATCAGTACTGGAGTTTGCAAGTTTTCTGAACTTTGAGGGTTGCATCACTTTCTATATAGATGATCTCACAGTTGAATTATTTACATTTCCAAAATTTGGAAGTTGTGCCCAAAGTATGGCTGAATATGTGTACATTTTTTGTAACACCTGTGAACAATTGTCATCAACCACCACTATAGAGAAAGATGCATCATACTAACTGTAACAATACCAAAGTGGTATAATGACATATTCCTTATTATTATCTACCAGGATTATGAGATTGATCAGCTTATTATTTTTTTTAATTTTAAAACTATTGCAATTTCAGATAAATTTACAAAAATGGTTAGCATACCAGATTGGAACAAGATAACTGGCTTTCAGGAGGCCAGTAGACAGAAAAATATCAGTTCACTTGAGAGATATTACAGGCAAAGAGATGAAGAAATTATACGACAGGCAGAAAAACAAGGCTACTTTGTCATACCTTCTAAAGAATTCATACTTAATAATAGTAAAACAGAAAGAAAATGTAAAGACTTAAATAAATTACAGTTTATAAATCTAACAGGGTTACATTTACGTAAACCTGGAGATCTTAGTTATTGTGTGAATGTTACCATCTGTATTCTTCACAATAATTTCCTGACTAAAATTGATGGGTTAGGTGCATGTCGACATCTCATTAAATTAGATCTTCATGGAAATCAGGTAAGACATTAACATTTGTAAATTAATTTTATTGTATCATCTGCTGTAGAGTACAATGTTGGCCATGATAGTTTTTCTAATATAGCCAAATTGTTAATTTTATACGCCCACATTTTCATGGTGGACATTTATTGTCGTCGCCCCTGTCCGTCCACAATTTGTTTGTGGACACTGTAGAGGTCACAATTCTGTCTGATTTTGACGAAACTTGAAATATAGGTTTATCTCCGAAAGATCTCAGTTCCTTTCTTTATGGATTATGGCCCCTGATTGTACAAAAAATCACATTTTAACCTTATAACATGATTCTGAGCAAAATCACGTTTTTTTAGCTTGTGGTCTCTCTAGAGGTCACAATTATTATCTGATTTTAAAAAATGTTCAAATATATTAACGTTACACCCTAATGAAGGCTGAGTTCGACAAAATGGCCGCCCCTCGTAAATATATGGAATATCAAGGTTGTGGACCCACTAGAGGTCACAATTTTGATCTGATTTTGATGAAACTTGAAATACATGTTTATAACCCAAAGATCTTGGTTCTCTTCCATAATCGTGCATATCAGATTGTAACTTCCTGAATTATGCCCCTTGATTGTACGAAAATTGTGGTTTTTTTTAGCTTGTGGTCCCCTCTAGAGGTAAATAAATATATGTATATATATATCAAGGTTGTGGACCCTCTAGAGGCCACAATTTTGATCCGATTTTGATGAAACTTGATACTGGTATTTATAACCCAAAGATCTTGGTTCCTTCCTTTCGATATTCGCACATATCGGATCGTAACTTCCTGAATTATGGCCCTTGATTGATTGTACGAAAAATCACATTTTTAGCTTATGGTCCCTCTAGAGATCACAATTTTTATCCGATTTAAAAAAAAAGTTTTAATATATTCACTGTTACATCCTAATGATGGTTGAGTTCAAATTTCCTGAAAATCAGACCAAAACTGCCGGACAGAATGGCCGCCCATTGTACACAAATAGTGTAAATATATGGTGAAGGTTGTCGACCCTCTAGAGGACACAATTTTGATCCGAATTCAATGAAACTTGAAATATATGTTTATATAACCAAAGATCTTGGTTCCTTTCGATATTTACGCATATCGAACCGTAACTTCCTGGATTATGGTCCCTGATTGTACGAAAAATCACGTTTTTAGCTTGTGGCCCCTCTAGAGGTCAAAATATTTATCCAATTTTAAAAAGCGTTTAAATGCATCACTGTTACACCCTAATGACGGTTGAGTTTGAAAATTGGACTGAAACTGCCTTACAAAATGGCCGCTCCTTGTAGAACTAGTAGAAGAAGTCACCATGTTTATCCGATTTTGATGGAACTTAAAATATATCTTTATATTCCAAATACCTCAGTCCATTTCGATATTCGCGTATTTCAGACCATAACTTCCTGGATTATGGCTCCTGATTGTGCGAAAAATGTTTTTTTTTTTGCTTTTTTTTTTAGTTCTCTATCCATCTCTTTCAAAATGTGGGCGTATCTTGCCTGGCAACCTCTGGTATTCTCGTCTTTGAAATATTAATAGTTTTGTTTAAAGTTATATTCCATTAAAGGAGCAGTCTCAGAATTTTTTTTATATTAAACGGCCAATCTCGATTATATTTTTGAGAATAAAACTGCTGAATTTTGTGTTAAAAGCTCTTAAAATCCGAGCAACTAACTCAATATACCTGATACATTTTTAAACAACTTGAACCTGTTAATAACATGTAGCTGAAATTTACCTTTCGTTTTGAAGTACAGTACATGGGTTATGCAATAGACCTCTAAAGGAACGGCAATAGATTATCAGGTCACCAAAAGCAAAAATGGACCTTAAATCAGCGGTTTTGACAGTCACGTCCAAATGACTCAATATTTTGAGCTGAAATTTTGAGACACGGTAATATAAATACTCCATTCCTTTAAATTTCATACGTACACAGCCTTTTATTCCTTACACTCTGTTAAAAACGGAACGGTGTAGTACTACCGGACTTCTTTATTTGTTGTGTTTGTGATCGTAAATAACACTACAGTAATACTGATTTCCCAACTTTATTACTAAGTTGTACTGGCTTTTCAGATTCCTCGTTCTCAATGGTAATGACTGGTAAGAATTTCTGGGTGAGCTCTAATCTAGCTCTCCTCTACACCCTAATTTATACCCCCTACTTTTTCCAGGTCTTCAATAACCTTGTCGTGAATTTCCACGCCATATAAGGAATAAAACTCTTTATTTCCCACTAATAAGATAGGAAACATTACCTATTTTTGGTCAACCGACCATAGGTCAATAAACAGCTAGAATTTGATGACTATTTTGACAATATGATTATAATTTAACTAAAACATCACTGTTTTTTACGAACAACTATAACCACGTTCATTTAGTACTTATGATTTGACTTTATAGACAAAATTGAAGAGACAATTTTATAAAGAGCCAAAATTGTCTCAAGGGCCATAGTGCTACAATGGTTCCTTTAAAATAAATTATTTGACATTGAGACAAACTCTTGAAAGACTTCAGCCCAGTACTTTGCAACTGTATTAATATTAAGCTGTTTTCCTGCGCCCAAGTTGGTGATAAGTCCCCAAATTTCGCGCTATGGACGATGTACGTGGCTGGATAGAGATGAATATAGTTGATGAAGTTATAGTGCGTGGCAAATGACCTTCGTAATTAGCAAACAAGTTATGTGATCCCATTTAGCAAATCTAGAAATCATTTCCAATGAGTTCAATGTTTGGATTTGAAGATAATTAGTAGGCTAAATGCTGGCTCGATATATCGTTAAATCGATGTATCGTGAGATGATGAATTGATGTATTAGTGTTGTTTTTTTTTTTATCACTTTAGTGAGTAACCTATAATAACCTATCCACGTCACACAATATTATCCATAGGTACACAAACACTCTTAAATTGTTTTGGTCCCTATTTTGATCCACATCAATATTGTGATATAATACAGTTTTATTTCTTTGACATCGGCAGGAATAAGAATATCTATTATTCATTTATCCTGTTGTTTTCTGGGTAAATAATGACTTGTTTATGAATCATGATATGAATCGTATCGTAGCACATGAATTGCAATACGTATCGTATCGTCAGTGCAGTAGCAGTACCCAGCACTATCGATTGGTTCTGCCTTCTGTGCAGTGGCAATACCCAGCTGTAGTATTAATTCATTGGTATTCGACTTGCATACATTTGGTAAACCCACATTATCAACAGGTACACTGCGAAATCTGTTTGCTCTTTAATGTATCATTAGACATTGTAACATGGACTGGAAATCTTAGATTGTTTTCCCTCTAGTAGATTGGGTGGAGCTTAACCGTGCAATAACTAGACATGTTCAATGTTATTGCACACTTTTGCTGGTTTACACTAGTTTTAGTAGAAATCATATAGAGAAGTGGGGTAGGTTTTTCCTGCAATAACAATATGCATTTGAGCAGTTGTTAATGTTACAAGTCATTTATAGCGCGCTTCATTCGTTAACAGGTTTAAATCCCTCAGCCTTCGGCCTCTGGTTAAACCTGTTAACTCATGAAAGCTGTGCTATAAATATAACTTATTTATAACATGAAAATGTTTTTTACTCTCAGCTCAAATGCTTTTTCTTACCAGTACATATAAATTCCGCTTAAAATAATTCTTTCAATTTATTTCAGCTGGCTTATCTGCCTGGGATGCCATTTTGGTCTGGATTAAGAAAGCTAAGAAGTTTAATTCTACATGATAATCCATTAGCCAGATTTGATATACTTCATGATCTGAGTGTTTGTCCAAAATTAACCATTCTCACTCTCTATGATTCACCACTATATCTGAAAAAAAATTATCGTCACCATGTCGTAAACAGTATCTGGACCCTAAAAGCTCTTGATAATTACATTATCTCAGATGAAGAAATAATTGAGGATGCCGTTTTCGGACCAAGATTTGCTGCCATGGCTCCACAGTTTAGATTAAATTTATGTCCACGATTAAAAAAGGTAAAAATGGGCCAGCAGTTGTAATTTATGCATGATTGGCTTCCATTATGATCTATAACTCGACTGATTTTGATAAAAAATAAAAAAAAGAGGCCATTACTAACTTTAAAATGGTTTTTTTTCAAAATAAACTTTAGATTGATTGTTTAGTACAAGTTTACATTATCAACACACATTGTTTATTACTAGTTAACATAACCAGTACATAATGCCATTTAGATTGTGAATACACATAGATTAATTTCTTGTTTATCACTAGTTAAAACCATCAATACACATACCATACTCATTTATTGTTTATTAGTAGTTAACACTATCAATACACATAGACTCATTTATTGTATATTACTAGTTAATTCTATCAATATTCATAGACTCATTAATTGTATATTACTAGTTAACAGTATCAATACACATTAGGGGTGGTCCTTATTTTGCAAAATTTTGAAAAGTTAACTTGTCTACGATATTACCCTTGGTGGAAGTGGACGTAAAACTCCAGGAATGAACGAACGAAAAGTTTAGGAGCTACCCTCAATTTATGTTCTAATTGATGAGAAAAAAATGGAAAACAGGTCCACCCCAATACGCAAAGACCCATTTACTGTTTATTACCAGTACTTTAGATAACTCTATCAATACACAGGACTCAATTATTGATTATTATTATTACTACTAGTTAACACCACCAATATTGCACATGTATTGTTTGTTACTAGTTAACACCATCAATACACATAGATTAATTTATTGTTTCTTACTAATTTAGTCTGTGAATACACACAGACTCAAGTAAAAGCTTCCAATACTAACATCTTCAATATTATTATTGAACACTGAAATTTGATAATCCATTTTAAGGATTTTTATTACACCCTTGATTTGAAGAACGATAATTATTAGGACTTCATTACAAGCTTGAATAATATTTTCCATATATTGAATGTTATTTTCAGAACAGTACATACAAAGATGAATTAGAAGCCTTATTTATTACAGAAGCCAAGATGAATTTTCTGCTTTCTCATTTTTCGCCAGTTTTAATCATACAAAGATATATAAGAGGATTCATCACAAGACTAAGGTAATTTATCTCTCATGATTTATATCTTCTGCATTCATTAGAATTGCCTAGAGCTGGGTGTTAATTTGGTTATTCGATATAAAATTTTGACAGAAATAAATATTGAAAAAATGTTTTTCTTTTCATGTTATTTACCATATTTTATTGTTTAATGATGAATAAATAGTAATAAATAACGTGAAAATCTCCCAAGTGTTCATTCCATGAAGTTAGCAAACACTGTTAGAGCTTTGTTTAGGCCTACGCCACGTGACTTCTCACTTGCTTTTTTTCCCTGACCATTAGAATCATTTCTGCTACTGTTCAATTTTCTATGTATCTAGATGAATTGTGTATACTGATGCTTTGATTTTTCAAAGGAATCATTGATTTTCTTACCGAAATGAATTTTAATAAAGCCGAAATATAAATAATGCCAACTATGTCGAGTATATCGGTAGACTGTCAGTGTGTCATTGCTGTCTGTGATCCGATAAATCGCCATTTGACTTAGTTTATGGACACTTTTTTTTTAAACACTGACATTTTATAGTTTAATTGGGTGTTATTGTGTTATAAATGTAAAATTAATTTCCAAAAAGACATACGCTTGAATTAAAATTAACAAGTCTGCATGGGTAAAAGAATACCCATTTTATGCCCCCTTCATATGTAAATAATCTTATTAAATCAACTTCTCCATAATAATTAAATCAACTTGTCCATAATATCATAATTAATGTATTGGAAGTTAAAATTGTAATAAACAACAACAATAGGCCTATAGACTAACATTTTTAGGAAGTCTTCGTGGCTAGATCCTTGTTTGTAAATACTATATATTTATGCGTAAAGATACATTATGGGAGATAAGATAAAGAGATGGCAGTTCTCGCTATAATAGTTAAAAACTAGACAATGTAAAGGTAATTTGCTGGAAATTTCAGTCAAATTGATCCACTATGAGCTGAGAAAGAAGCAGGTGAAATTTTTGCATAGTCTCGGTCATCATTACTAAAATCATTAATATAAACAGCATAGTCTCAATTATCCACTTTTTCTGATTTAATTATCAATAGCCGTTAGCGGCATATAGGAATCTAATCCAGCCAACATTGAAGGCTAGCCTTGACATCGAGAGTTTATTATGGTCTGGATAAGTTAATTAATGTCTAATTGATAATTTAGATAACATTTCAGGCCTAAAGAAAGACTTGTAATAAGCAGATTTTGCTCTTGCATAATGCATGTTTAATAAAATTTCAAATAATATTGACTACAAAAGTTCAAGTGAATACTCAGAAGTTATGTCCAACCTTTTTATGCATGTTTATTTACAGTTAAAGGGTGATAAACAAATTACTGACATTTTATAAAATAATGCGATATACTGATAATATTGCAATATTTGTTTCCAGGGATATCACCCAGCTCTAGAATCGCTTATGATTGTACATGTATGTGCTGCTTTTGAGTATTTCTGCTGTCTAATTATAATTAGTTCTTGAATTTATTCCATTTTTATACGTCCACATTTTTGTATTTTAAATTTATCATATACTGGCCGCAATTCTGAATGGATCATCTTAAAACTTCATGTAATCCTTATAGCCTAAGGGTGACAACTATTGATTTTGGTGCATGTCCTGACCCCAGGGGCAGAGCCATGCCCAAATTTTGTGTTTACTGTTTGAAGGCTACATTTCTGAATGGAACTTGGTATACTAATTCCTTATACCCTAAGGACGGCAACTATTGATTTTGGTGCATGATCTGCTCCCCTTGGGTGGTGCCACACCCACTTTTTATTAATATTTTGTCTGTAAATAATCTACAGGTTGCAATTATAAGCAGATTTGGATCCAATTCAGTATGGTCCATCATAGGGTTTTACCTATTTATATTGGTCCATGTCCAACTGCCGGGACAGCCATGTCCAATTTTTGTGTTTTTTGTCTACAGACTGGAATTCTGAACAGATCATCTTGAAACTTGGCATATTTATTCCTTATACCATAAGGATATCAATTATTTAATTTGGTGCATGTCCCGATCCCCAGGGGTGTAGTACTACACCCACTTTTTGTTAATTCTTTGTCTGTAAATACTCAGGTTATTTTTTGTTAATATTTAGTCTGTAAATTTGGCAAAACAAACTCAACACGTAGCCTTCTTTGCTTCTTGTTATATTACAGTCATTGCAGCCATTTCATATTTCATGCTCTTCATTCTTAAAAGTACCATATCAATCAAAGCAGGAATGTGGACGAATATTGCAGCAGTAGCAATGCTCTTGTTAATTGTTTGTTAAATATTTAACTACTACTTGCATATATTTTCTCTATGTTCTTTTTGGATTATGATTTAACCGTAATTGGCAAAAGTCATTCATAATAATACATGGCGAAATGAGTGAATTAATAAAATAGGGTTTAACTTCCTACTTTTCGGCACAGGTCTACCCGGCTAATGAATATGGGCATATATGCCACACAGTGTGCTATGCAGAAAATTTTGCCCTGACAGCAAATGAATTCAAACTGTCAAGAGTTCTTTTATGTGCATGCCAAGTCGCCAATATGTTTTTATGACCACTGATAAGTGTGACAAGGGACAACCACAGCTGGGAAATCCAGAGAGACTTTCTCGCCAAACACTGTAATCAAACCCTAGACCTTCAGGTTAGCAAGCCAGTGCCTCACCAACTGAGCCACCGTGGCTCCCTTAGCGAAATGAGAAGTCAAGTCCAGCCAATTTCTTAAACGTGTTATTTGACTGTACTATAGTTGAACAGCATAAAATTTACAACCAAAAAATAAAGTCTTATTTTAATTAGACCACATTTACTGATTTGTTTAATTAATTTCATGAGAGAATCATTTTTAAGTAACATATTAATCAGATAATTTTTAATTTAAAAATGGAAAGAATTTGCCTCGTTTATTCTTGTTTCTAGTTGATCCACAAATAAAGTTTAGATAATGTGTTTTGGTTTAACTGTTTTGTTAGTTTATAATGAACACATCAGAATTTTGAGTGCCACAAAGTACATCTCCTCTATGCATGCATAGCTAGATATTAATTTCATTTAAGTTTACTTAATATTATTCTGTACTAATAATTTTGTATCTTTCTATTTTCAGATTGGGACAGATATCTAAGTATCATGGTTTGAAACACACAACTTCACATACTGTGGATGGAATTCCTCATCCACCTAGTTGTGCGATCACAGTTCCTCATGCGGCCAGTGCACATGAAAGTATGCCACATTTTAACTCACTCATAAAACTACCACAGCTCGAGTCGGAATCACAACTAGAAGCTACTCCAAGAGTACCAAAGAATCAAGAGGTAGGTGTCTATGAGCAATTGAGCATTATAACATTTCAATTAAAGACATTGAGTAGTCTTAAGATGCGCACTAACATTCTTTATATGTAAATATTCTACTGTCGAGTAGTGCACTGAAGTAAATATTTACTTTTTGGATCCGAATTGTTTTATTTTAAAACTTGTTGTGGGCGTATTCAAAGAATACCTAAAATTTCATTCGAAGGTAAATAATAAACAAAGATTTAAAAAACTTTAACTTGATATTTTTTAATGTTTTTGGTGTCGAAACGTCGCTTATAACCTCTACTTTCAATCTACAATTGGGATTATCGATAATCTTTTTACCAGGAACTTAATGAATTTCCAAGAAAACTCATCATTTTTTTGTGTTTCCATGGATACCAGACAAACCATGGTCTATAGCATTTAGCATTGTTCACACCAAATTTCATGAAAATCCATGCAGGCCTGAGAAAATCAGACTTTTGTTTTCATCAGCACCCTTTATTATCATGCTTTTGGGCCAAGCTTTAAGATGTGCATTTTATTTAGAGTACTCAACACCCTTAAACCATATCAAAGTTACAGCTATTTTTCAATTACATTTCACACACTGTGGTGAAGAGTTAGTGTACCCACAATACTGGATTATGTTTATCTTGATTTAAAGAGGAATTATCACTTAAATGTATATTTCATCAATGGATTGGCAGTTTTGTTGCAAAGTTTGCACACACAATACCATTTGTATAACCAAACCAAGTCTAATGCACAAAAAAAGATTACCAGTCCATACTGTTTATGGCAAGGGTTTTACATTTGGCAAGGTTTTTACATTTATGGTAAGGTTTGTCGGTGTTTGGAAAAATTGAAATTTATGAAACATTTATGAAGATATGAAGAAAGTACATTCTACAAGATTTTATTCTGTTGTGTTTTTCATCACAATTAAGAGTTCCAAAAGATATTGGACTTTAGGATTTTAAAAAATCAATTTACAAAAATATCTTATCACCACACCCTTATCGCTTCAATGGTATGTACCACTACTACCCCACATTCCACAAGGTTTTCAACTTTTGGTTTGTGGTGTTTGTTACCACAAGAGTTCCACAAGATGTACATTTCTTCTCAGCCCCCCCCCCCCCCCCCACCACCAAAAAAACCCCAATAAATTATTTTGAGAAACTGTTTTTTGATAATCTAAAAATTTTAACTTAACCACCATTATGTAGTTTAATTGCTAGATGATGAATTAATGCACATATGCACAAAACTATCAATCCATTGATGAAATATACATGTGCAGCAGTGATGGGATTTCAAAATTTTTCTTGTTGAATATTTTTACCGAAAATAATTGGACATAACTCTTATCGTTTTTTAAGGAGGCAGCTTTAGACCACACACAAAAATCATGTGTCAACAAAATATTTAAATTCGTATGCAATAAAAAAATAGGTGCACCTAGTTATTTTTCATATTTAATTCCTGTACGGTATTCCAATTTTTGTCATTAATATTCCTACAAAATGATGTCGTACTACGATAGAATGAATAGCTTGCCGACCCGTACCTGTTTCAAATTCCTCCAAAATTACTATATATTTTTCAGTAGAAGTAGGTTTTTATTAGGTCGATGCCTTGATGGAGTGTATACTTTCGTTACATCAGTACCTTGACTAAATTCAATAATGAACATTTTCTGCTCAGGGTAAGCAGAGCGATAAGCAATTTGATTGGGTGAGATTTTGGAACACAATAACTTTCCTAATTAAGGTAGAATGTTCAAATTTGTGTAGGTGTCTATTATTACTTAGGTGAATGTCTTGACAGAATTCTATCATGCACATTTTCCACTAAGGCTTAGCAGAGATAAGCAATGTGATTGGTTGATGCTTTTGGGCATGATAACTTTGGGCATGATAACTTTGGTTTTAATTAACTGAGAGCTATGAAACTCGGAGTATAGATTCATTATATCATTACCATGACTAAGTTTGATGAGAATTTTTTGCTTAGGCTAAGGAGCGATAAGCAATTTGATTGGTCAAGACTTTGGAACATAACAACTCTGCTTTTAATTGAGGTAGAATGTTTAAACTTGATGTTGATGTTCATTAGGTGAATGTCTTGACAAAGTTCAATTATTAACATTTCCCGCTAAAGCTACACAATGCTAAGCAATTTCTTTGACTTTGATTCTATCTGAAAGAGAGTGATGAAATTTAGTGAATAGTTGATAATCAGTTTGATTGGTCGATACTTTTGAAAAAGATAAATGTGCAATCAATTAATATGTTTATCTATTTATTTTGGGATTTCGGCGGGAGACATCAGCCTCACTGTTCGCTTGTCCAAGTAACACACAAGCTAGAATAACAATGGCAGAGTCAGTGGTTGACACTTTGTCATTAACTTTATTGTGGGCTCATTAAGTAATTTGAGTTTGTACTTGTAGATATATTTTTCATAAATTAACAAAACAGAACACTATGCTGTCAAATATTTGATTTTAAAAATATCTAATTACAGATTGGTGATACTGACTCAAATCTAATTCCAATGAACAAACAGAGATCTGAGGAGATGGGATATCTACCTATGGTTCAAACGATGCCAGGTACAGCGACAAACGATTCCTCACCTAGACAAACCAAAAACATCTTTATTAATCTTGCTAAATTACACCAAGAAACATCGCAGATTTTACAACATGAAATCTCAGCCCTGGAGTTACAACGACAGTCAGAAATGGAGGAGAGAATGACTCAAATAGAATTGCGTAGGAGCAGAAGAGATAAAAGGGAGAGAAACAAATCACGGAAACCAATCAAGAGCATTAAGCATTTTTTTGGTCCAGTCGTCACCACAACATCTAGTCCTGTCCCAGAATATGCATTTCTACCACCAGATATCGACGATGATGCTCCCATTACACGATATCGTATTTGTGGGTTTAAGCCTAGAATAGCCATGATTGATGCCACAACAGAAATGATTTTAGCTCGTAAGGAAGCTGGGAATCTTGTCAGAGATGCAGAAGCTCAACATCACAGAAACATGATGGACACGCCCAAACCAAAAATTCATTTAAAGAAATTACCAAATAATGACCAAAGAATTTTCAATCGTGTTCATGGATCAATGGCTATGTCTTGTTTGTTTGCTGTACAGAAGGCATATAAAGAGAGGGAAAAAGCTGAAAAGGCAGCGGCTAAGATGGAACATATTTTAAACGTTCGTGATGAGAAAATTCGAGCAAAGGAGAGAATCCATCTCTATCATCAAGAGAAAAGAAATCGAGCGTTAAAACACAAAGATCAAGATCAAGCTAGAATATTAGAAACCATGGAGAATAGAGAAATTGATCGTTTAAATTATATTGATAAAAGACAAGATCTCATGAGTAAAACATCTGACATGTCAAGAAATCGTAGACAAGCTCTGGAATTTATTACTGAGTTCAACAACCAGCACACATCTGTTTCGAATGCTTTGATGAAACATGATCGCCAAACTCGACAAGATGATAAATCAGTAAACAAATTTGAGTTTGTTCAAGGTCACAGAACTGAGGAACTAGAACAACAAGAAACAGTAAAAAAATATCTTGAACATCGTCAATTGATGCGTCAAGGAGAAACCTCTATGATGAAAGATACTCTAAATTCACAGCTTCTTCAGGAAGCTAACGAAAGATTGTTCCAAGCACAGCAGCGAGTTGGTCATCTTAAAGCAAAGCGAGATTCTATTCAAGCTTTTTATCCACTCCCTCCTTCTACTGTTCCAAAAGGTGTCAGCACAGCTCCAGTTGGTTTAAGCAGATGGGAGGCAGGAGCTTTGTCATCTGCTGGTCGAATAGGTCGTCACCCAACAATGGTAACTTAAAAAACTTAATTATTCTACAACAAATATTTTAAAATGCTGTTCCCACAGGGTAAATTTCACTTAACACTGGAAACAGAAAACCATCTGGTACATGTTCATTGTTGTATTTTACAAATTGTGAAAAACTCATTTAGAGATTATGATGAAATGGCCAGCACTACCTATCACAAATATTGTCTGGCTTCTTACACACAAAGCAATTAAAGATAAATTGTAGCACAAATCAGAAATTTCCTTGATTCTGATTGGTCGAAAATTTGGTTGATTGGACAATAAACCCCCTCTAAATTATCAAGGCGAATTACTGGTATAAATATAACAGTGTAATTTTTTTACCAATATCTTCAAGAAATTCTGCACACATGACTATCACACCAATTTCAAACTTCATCTTTTATGAAAACACATTCCTGAAATACATAAAACAGTAGAAAATCAGTTATAAATTAATTAAAACCCTTTTCAGGTATCCTAAATTACATATTCGTAACTAGGCAGCGACAGTATGGGCAATTTTGTTTTCTTTTTTGGTAGACTCACCAATGTTTAGATGGTATTTTTAAATCACGCTTTGATCAAATTCTGACTAGCATGATCTGTCGCGTCTTGTGTTCTAATAATTCAAGCATTGTTAAATGAATAACCCCCTCTAAATACGAAACAGGAAGTGTTTATCTGCTAAGTTAAGTTTATTAGTAATTTTTATACACCCACATTTGTTTGTAGACACTCTACAAGTCAGAATTCTTAGCCGATTTTGACGAAACTTGAAATAAAGGTTTATCTCCAAGAGATCTCTGTTCCTTTCAATATTGGTATGTATTAGATCAAAACTTCATGGATTATTTCCCCTGATTGTACAAAAATTCACATTTTTAGCTTGGGGACACTCTAGAGGTCACAGTTTTTATCCGATTTAAAAAAACGTTCTAATATATCACTCTTACCTCATAATGATAATTGAGTTCAAATTTTGGACCCAATGACCACTCCTTGTACACAAATGGTGTTAAAGTATGTAATACCAAGGGTAAACCCTGTAGAGGTCACAATTTTTATCCGATTTTGATGAAACTAAAATATGTTTATATCCCAAAGATCTTGGTTACTTTCGATATTCGTGCATAGGACTGTAACTTCCTGGTTTATGGCACTGAATGTACGAAAAATCATGTTCTTAGCTTCTGGACCTCATAATTTTTATCCGGTTTTAAAAAACGTTTAAATATATCACCCTTAAAATATATGTTTATGTCCCAAAGATCTTGGTTAATTTCACTATTTGTGCATATCAGCCCATAACTTCCTGGATTGTGGCCCCTGATTGTACGTAAAATCGCGTTTTTAGCTTGTGGATCCTCCAGAGGTCACAATTTTTATCTGATTTAAAAAACCGTTTAAATATATATCACCGTTAAATCATAAAAACGGTTGAGTTTAAATTTCATAAAAATCTAGAGGTAACAATTTTTTCCGATTTTAATGAAACTTAATATATATTTGTATATCCCGAAGATCTTGGTTCCTGTAAATATTCACACATATCGGACTGTAACTTCCTGGATTATGGCCCTGATAGTACGAAAAATCTCTTCTGTTTTTTAGCTTGTTCTCTGTCCTTCTCAGAGTTTCTCTTGCCAAATTTGGGCGTATCTTGCATGGTAACTGCTGTTTTTTTAAAGATATATATTATTTATTTTGTTGTGTTATGTGATTTAAATATTATGTAATTTATTATTATTATGTGTAATAAATTAACTTGTTTTGATTGTTGATGATTTTGTTAATGTATGTGATATACTTGATGATGAAGTTAAGAATTTTGATAAAGCAGAAATGTGATGTAGTTTTTAAATGATTTGAAAATGTATTAAAATTAAAAAAACTAGAAATTAACCATGTTTACGTGTGTTATAAAGAAAGCCTAGCTACATATGCTAAATACTGGTACATATTTCAACATGAAATTCATATAATTCACTATTAAATACTCAAATAAATTTGGGTAATTTTAAAATGCATCTGTATTTGTTCCATTGATTGTTGATGATTTTGTTAATGTATGTAATATATTTAATGATGAAGTTAAGAATTTTGATAAAGCAGAAATGTGATGTCGTTTTTAAATGATTTGAAAATGTATTAAAATTCAAAAAAATAGAAAGTAGCCATGTTTACGTGTGTTATAAACAAAGCCTAGCTATGTATGCTAAATACTGGTACATATTTCAACATGAAATTCAAATAATTCACTATTAAATACTCAAATAAATTTGGATAATTTTAAAATGCATCTGTATTTGTTCCTTTTTTATACGCCCACATTGAAATGTGGTCGTATATTGTCGTCGCATCCGTCCGTCCGGAATTGCTTGTGGACGCTCTAGAGGCTAAAGTTAATATCCGATTGACTTTAAATTTATGTACAGTGTTTAAGGCCATGAGACGAAGAAGCCTATTGATTTTCAGTGATTTCCGATAATTACTGCCAGAGTTATGGCCCTTGATCACTTCAAAAATATTATGTACAGTGTTTAAGGTCATGAGACGAAGAAGCCTATTGATTTTCAGTGATTTCCGATAATTACTGCCAGAGTTATGACCCTTGATCACTTCAAAAAATCTTGTGGACGCTCTAGAAGCTAAAGTTAATATCTGATTGACTTTAAATTTATACACAGTGTTTAAGGTCATGAGACGAAGAAGGCTATTGATTTTCAGCAATTTCCGATAATTACTGCAAGAGTTATGGCCCTTGATCACTTCAAAAAATCTTGTGGACGCTTTAGAGGCTAAAGTTAATATCCGATTGACTTCAAATTTATATACAGTGTTTAAGGTCATGAGACAAAGAAGTCTATTCTTTTCAGTGATTTTTGATAATTACTGCCAGAGTTATGGCCCTTGATCACTTAAAAAAATATTGTGAATGCTCTAGAGGCTAAAGTTAATATCCGATTGACTTTAAATTCATACACAGTGTTTAAGGTCATGAGATGAAGAATCTTATTGATTTTCAACGATTTCCGATAATTACTGCCAAAGTTATGGCCCTTGATCACTTTGAAAATCTTGTGACGCTCTAGAGGCTAAAGTTATTATCTGATTGATACACAGAGTTTAAGATCTTGAGACGAACAAGTATGTTGATTTTAATGAATTTTTATGACTTGAACAGCTAAATCCATGATATTAAAAGTTTCGTATACTAAAAGTTAGCATGGCGCAGAACTTGATAAAAACCAAACAAATTCTAATGGTTTTCTGATAATTACTTCATGAGTTGTTACTCGTAATCAGATTTTAGTGTATTATAAATGTTTCATTACCGAAGAAAGTAAAAATATACAACAACACTTGTTGACTCCCCGGACGACTTAGCTGCTGTGGGCGTATGTTTCGTTGCCTGGCAACCTATCTTTGTTGTCAAAAGCAACGATTTGTAAAAAAAAAAAGATAGCACACCTGGAACATTATTGCTGGTAGGAAAGTCTGAAATGGATGAATGGAATGGAAGGCTGTGAAACACTGGATATCAATAGGGGCTCCACGTCGCATGTTACCAATGGTTCACAACAGATTAGATAAAAGATATTTAAATATTGCAGATTGTTCGCAAGGGCCATAACTCTAGAAATGATTGACAGAAAGTGTTGAAATTCAATAGGATTCTTCATTTTTATACGTCCACATTCATAATGTGAACGTATTATGCCGTCGCCCCTGTCTGTGTGTGTGTGTGTGTGTATGTATGTATGTGTGTGTGTGTGTGTGTGTGTGTCTGTGGTTCGCCTACAGGGCGCAATTCTTCATGGATTTTCTTCAAACTTGGTATACTTATTCCTTATACCCCAAGGAAGATCCCTATTGTTTTTGGTGCATGCCCGACCCCCCGGGGCAGAGCCACGCCCATTTCTAGTATTTGTTTGTTTGTCGTCTACAGGCCACATTTCTTAACTAATAATCTTGAAACTTTGCATACACATTCTTTGTACCCTAAGGAACATCCCTATCGTTTGGGGTGCATGCCCAACCCCCAGGGGCAGAGCCACGCCCATTTTCTTTTCGTGTGTCTTTGTGTCGCCTACAGGGCGCAATTCTTACTGGATTTTCTTCAAACTTGGTATACTTATTCCTTATACCCCAAGGAAGATCCCTATTGTTTTTGGTGCATGCCCGACCCCCAGGGGCAGAGCCACGCCCATTTCTAGTATTTGTTTGTTTGTCGTCTACAGGCCACATTTCTTAACTTATAATCTTGCATACACATTCTTTGTACCCTAAGGAACATCCCTATCGTTTGGGGTACATGCCCAACCCCCAGGGGCAGAGCCACGCCCATTTCCCATTTTCTTTTCGTGTGTCTTTGTGTCGCCTACAGGGCGCAATTCTTACTGGATTTTCTTCAAACTTGGTATACTTATTCCTTATACCCCAAGGAAGATCCCTATTGTTTTTGGTGCATGCCCGACCCCCAGGGGCAGAGCCACGCCCATTTCTAGTTATTAGATGCTACAATCAACAGGTCAAAAACTGTACAAGGCAAATAGTTGTACAATATTAGGGATTAATTTCCAAAGGAATTTGATGTGGTCAATGTTACCAACCCGTTTTACCCAGGATATCTAATTTTTATACGTCCACATTCATAATGTGGACGTAGATTGCCGTCGCCCCTGTCCTTGTGTGTGTGTCTTGTGTGTCGCCTACAGGCCACAATTCTTAAGTGATCATCTGCAAACTTTACATACTTATTCATTATACCCCAAGGATGATCCCTATTGTTTTTGGTGCATGCCCTACCCCCAGGGGCAGAGCCACGCCCATTCTTTGAATTTCTTTGTTTGTCATCTACAGGCCGCATTCCTTAACATATCATATTGAAACTTTGCATACTTATTCTTTGTACCCTAAGGAACATCCCTATCGTTTGGGGTGCATGCCCAACCCCCAGGGGCAGAGCCACGCCCATTTTCAATTTGTGTGTCTGTGTTTTGCCTACATATTTATTCCTTATACCATAAAGACAGCAACTATTTATTTTGATGCTTGCCCCGACCTCCTGGGGCAGTGTCGCACCCACTTTATTGTTAGTATTTTGTCTGTAAATTTGGCAAAACAAACCCGACACCTAGCCTTCTTTGCCTCTGATCATATTACAGCCATTTCATATTTCATTCTCTTCATTTTAAAAAGTACCATATCAATCAAAGCTGGATTGTGGACGTATATTGCAGCGTTAGCGATGCTCTTGTATATATTTGAATAATGCTTTTAAATTTCATACAGATCGGATGATAAATTTTGTCATTCACAAGGTGAAACAAACGAGCCATAACTTCAGAAGTAATTATCAGAAATTGTTGAAATTTGATAGGCTTCTCTGTTGTACTAATTCAAATAATGCATATAAATTTATAAATGATCGGGTGATAACTTTTGTCATTTGAGCATTCACAAGGTTCTACAAAGTGAAACAAGGGCCATAACACAAATTCTTAAAATAATTTGTCTCACCAATGTAAACAACATATATAAATTTCAAAACGATCAGATCATAAATGTAGTCTAGCTAGAGTATTCACAAGAAATTATGGATGATGGAGGCAATGACAATATACAAATACATCTCTATCACATTCACAAAGTTTTGCATAAAGAGAGTTAATCCTATAGACAATCATAAGAATCAATTGGTTCTATGTTCTCATTTTTCTAATTCATCACACTAGAAAGCCCATAAACTTTGTTGCACATTTTGCATAAAAGGCATGGGCCATAACCCAAAATGTTGTGGTATGATTTGCACCAAAATCGAGCTCATCCAAGATCTTTTGTTCCGGCGTGGTTTCCCCTAGTCAGTGATGCAGGATGGAGGGCCTGACAAGGACAGCTGTCTAGTCGTTCGGATGGGACAAAAAACCGAGGTCCCATGTACACATTGGCGTGCACGTAAAAGATCCCTTGGCAGTTGGAATTCGATGTAAGAGTAGGCCGTAGCGCTGCTGCCCGGGCAGAATTTCCCTCATAGCACACTGTATGGCGTATGCCCGTCTTCATTAGCCCAGGTTAGGAGCAGAACAGTAGGACGTTAAACCCCATTTCATTTCATTTCCAAGATCTTTTGATCCTCAACATCTGAATCCGACAAAAATTGTGGCCTTTGGAGGGTCCACAAACTTTGACCATAATTTCACATTTTCCGTAAAAAGGCAAGGACCCAAGATGTTGCTGTGTGATACGCATAAAAGTGAAATCATCTAAGATCTTTTTGGAGAGTCCACAAACTTTTGATACTCGACATATATTTTAAGTTTGGTATATGTATTGCAAGTGTTTCAAATCAAAATCAAGCTCATCCAATTCTTTTGATCCTCAACATGTGAATCAGTCAAAAATTGTGGCCTTTGGAGAGTCCACAAACTTTGTACATATTTCACATTTTCCTTAACAGACAGGGAGGGACCCAAGAAGTTGCTGTGTAATATGCACAAAAGCAAACTCATCTGCACGAACTGAGCCATAATGAAGACTAAAAGGCAAATTTTGCCTGGACAGAAATATGCACTACGGCCTACTTTTATTTTGAATTCCAACTGTCAAGGGTTCTTTTACATGCATGCCATTGTATAGGACCTTGGGTTTTGTCCCATCTAAATGACTAGACACTGACAAGGGGAAACCACGCCTGCAGATAATCCTGAGGAACTGTCTCAACAAACACCGGGAGCGAACCTGAGACCTCCTGGTTAGCGAGCCAGTGTCTTACTCCCTAAGTCACTGCGGCTTCCTACTTTTCTGCACAAACAGGCTAATAAGACAGGAATATGCCATAGCCTACAGCACACTGATCAGCAGTAAATATTTGAGAGGGATGACAACAGTGCGGTTTAATGAGCTCATGATATTAACTTTTTTCCATCTGCAAATTAAATTCTAAAACATTTTTTTGGAAGTTTAAGAAAAATAAAGGTGTTTGAATATATAGATAAAAAATATTTCTTATTTAGTGTCAATGTGTATATAAGAGTAAAAGGCACCATTCTGCCCGGACCAGTTAATGCAACAATGTCTTATGTAAACAATGCATGTGCTGTAGAGCCAATGATGGATGCTCTGTGATGTGACATCACCTGTACAAGCCTGTAGCTAGCCCAAAAATGTTGGGGGGGGGGGCAAGTGCTTGCCTACACTTGATGGTTCACAGCAAACGGCACTGTCGATGTGCCTCCCTTTGGAGAAGGTTCAAGGGTGCTCCCCCTCCCCAGGAAATTTTGGAAAATAGGGTTTGCATCAGAGGAATAAAATGACGGAAAATTTCAATTTTGAGGCTGAATTTGCGATATTGGCGTGGCGTATTATGATATTTTGATCTGAACATTATAAAAATTTGAAGGAAGAAATACGACTTTCGGGTACCTATAATAATTTATGAGAAAAACAGAAAGTTCGGAATCAGGTTAGAGTGCGACTTGTTTGAATTTTGAAGATTATTACGCCTAATACGGGCGTGAATCAATCCCCATCATGAATTTGAACTGGAAGATTTCCTACAATCTCCAGTTGGCTTTCTTATGGTAGATTTCTTCGGACGTCGCAATGCAGTCGGTTTCTTGGTCGGACCACCTCATGAGGACCAATTGACCATTCTGTGGTTACAATAAGATATACAAACATTCAAGAGCTTTCACTTAATTTAATTAAAAGATACATTATGGGAGATTCGATAACGAGTTGGCAGTTCTCACTATAATAGTTAAAAACTAGATAATGTAAAGGCAATTTGCTGAAAATTAAATTCAAATTGATCTACTATGAACCGAGAACAAAGCGATTGAATTTCCGCCTAGCTTTGATCATCATTACTAAAGTCAGTACGATAAACAGCATAGTCTCGATTATCCATTTAATTGTTAAATTGTGAAGGAAAGTTATGCAGTAAATGGGCTCACAATCCACTAAAGATCGCAGCCTAGCGATGCCATCTAGAGTTGATTATGGTCTGGATAGGTTAATTAATGTCTAATTAATAATTTAGATAACATTTCAGGCCTAAAGAAAGACCTGCAATAGACAGATTTAGCTCTTGCATAATGTATGTTTAAAAGAATAAATAAAAAATATAAATTTGGCACATTTTCGTTGAAGTAAGATTATAATATCCAGCCTATTCAGTATCATAGTCATCAATGGAAGAATATTTCCTTGTCTTTTTGTGGTATTTATTTTTATTGGTTCGGGAAGCATGGCTACTATATTTGAGCGTGTTACAGTGTCGGTATCTTCAACTATTGTCTCGATGAATGCACAGATGTGTGCTTTTTGGCGCTTATGAACAAATTTACTTCAAAGCCACAATTTTTATCACCATTCTTGATAATATCAATGCAGTCAGGGGCAGGGAGGCTAAGGGGGAGAGGTGTGCAAATGGTTCAAACATGCACGTTAGATCTATAAGATCTGTCATTGAGTGAAGTAGCGTGTTTCGATTCCCCACTTATACGTGACAAGTAGGGTCGCCTGTCAAACTTTGTGGGTCCTATGTACCAATTTGTTCATAAAAACTACACAGCCTATCGCATTATTTCGGCAAACATTCCCCTGTCTGTTGTTCTCTTTCTATTTCTTAGTATTATAGAACTCCAGATTACAAATTTGACAATTTTCATAAAAAATATGACCAGGACCTATATATATGGACCATGCCAATAGGAACTGACCTGCAGGTGGTCCATCGGTTCCCTGCACAGCATTTAAATATATATTTAGCTTTATTAACAGTATATAGTACAGTCAGTCGAACTGTGGCATTTGATTTTTAGTGTAAAGCCTAGATAACTACTACTGGTGAATTGATATGAAGCACATCTTGATGACACTTAGGGGAGGATGGATGGCCGAATGCTTAGCACATGCGCACTGTATCATAAGGTCTGTCATTGAATCAACTGGCGTGGTTTCGATTCCTCGGTTGTACATCCCTTAGCAAAAAGTCCTACAGAATACCAGTGTAGGATTCTATAGAAAATCTATAGAGTTTTTTGGGGGGCGTGTCCCATTTTCTATAGGATAAAATTCTATAGTATTCTACAGAATTTTGGGGGCCTGTAGGAAATAACGGCTCCAAATATTCTACAGTTTCTGTAGTGCACATCCTATATTTTTTCCTACTGATTTATGGAAAAATTTCTATAGGAAAATACTGTAGTATTCTATAGGTTTTTTTATTGCACTTTCTGTAGGAAATTCTACAGTTATGTATAGGAATGAATACTGTAGTAAGTAGTATTCTGTAGTTTGGAAATTGGGCCATAGTTTTATGTAGGAATGGGTACTATAGAATTCTATAAACTTTTTTTTTTATTAAATCTTATTTTGGGAATAAATATAGTTGGCCCATGACTTCTTCTAAATTGATAAGCTTATTTTTCTCTCGTGGATTATTCTAAAGTGATAAGCTTATTTTTTCTCTCATGGATTAATCTGAATTATGTTGATGATTCACCAGCCGGAACCATGAAAAGTTCTTTTCTTGGTAAAACTGAAATATAGGGAAAAGAATAGGTAATAAAGTTAAATAAATAACAAAATCACATAAATCTTATCTAATTAAAGTAATTTAATATTATTGTTAAGAAAGTAATAAAGTATACTTATCTTTCTATCTTTAATCGAATCTGTGAAAAAAGACCACCATTCTCTTCAGTTTCTTGTTAATACTAACATATTAAGTTGTTATACACTGAATTTTTGAATTTTAAATTCAGCCAATGGCCAAACAGATTTCAAGAGAGTACATTGGCTGTTAATTATAGTTTGTCGACAGGTATGCACGGTTGACAGAATCTGAGTACAGAATCTGCTGTAGTCATTAAAATCTAACTAGCAGGATCACCTAACAGTCAGACTGTGTTCAAATAAACTGTGTCTTTATTTCATTGACTTATCTGAAGAATAATTTATTATCTGATATTTTTGTTGTGAACATCTACATTTACTGGCATTTTTTGGAGGGTGGGGTGGGGAATTCCTTTGAGTGTCAACATGTATCACTATTTCATTCATATTATACACTATTTTATACTTTATATTTTATTTTTCGTGGTAAGGTTATTTTAGTTTGTCATTTGGTATCACAATAAATTAAGGAAAACTGCATCCAGGAAAATTATGTTGGAAACGTTTACATAATTTACACAAGTGCATCACTAAATTCTATTGTAAACTATAGTATGAATAAAAGACATCGCCAATTTATGAAATCTGTAGTATAGAACATTGTTTCTACAATATTATGTAGGAAACTATAGTAGGCTATTTGTTAAAATGGTTTAAGTACAGTATACATATAAATTCTTAGTTTTCAACAGAATGTCATAGACAACTATAGGAATATACTACTGACTTGAGACAATAATAGTTCTATAGAAAACTATAGTTTTTACCACCAAATCTATAGGAATCACAGCTGACAAGTTAGTTCTATAGCAAACTATAGTTTTTAGCACAAAGGCTATAGAAGACTGAAGGATTACTCAACTGACTCGAGGATACAAGTTAGTTCTATAGAAAACTATAGCAGCACCAATGAATCTGTAGGTTTATTTTTTTTTCCAATAGTTTCTTACAGTATTCTATAGATTTCTATAGGAAATTACACTTGGAAAATATTCATCTACCAATCCTACACAAAACTATAGTACATGATTTTGAATCTATAGTCACCTAAAAAAAATAGCATTCTATAGAATCACACAAACTTCTAATTCTATAGAAACCTGTACTTTTTCTATAGGACTTTTTCATAAGTGACAAGGAGTAGGGTCGCCTGTCCAACCTCATGGGTTTTCTCCGGGTCCTCTGGTTTCCTCCCACTGTTAAAGGCCCCTACGCACAAGCGAATTGTTGAAATAAAATTGAGCCATGTGTTAGTTTCGAAATGACCAAGTTTAATTGTGTCAAGTGGACTTAAACCAATTTCTCTTATCTCTCTCTGATGACACTTAATTACTTTGGGACATGAAAAATATTGCAAAATATTTTTAAAAAAAACCTTTTAATATGGTTAAATGTGTAGGCTACTGTGAGGCTGTGAGACAATGTGTTGATAGCACTTGGGGCAATGTATTCTAGGCCAGGTTGGTCAAGCCGTCAAGGTTAAATGAATGATTAATGAAGGCCTGTAGATTCGATTTTGCCATTCACATGTCTGATACAAGGGCAAGGGGTGGCCCATCGGTCCCATATGCCCAAACGATTGGAATACCATGGCAAGGGGTGGCCCATCGGTCCCATATGCCCAAACGATTGGAATACCATGGCGATTGGCGGTAGTTGTATTTCTGGTGTGATTTGAATTCCCAATCTGTGTATTATCGTTTCGTTTCATAAGCGATCCTTATTTCACTATTTCGTTTCATCGCCCCGTTACGGTGCAAAATTTTGAAAACCAGCATGGACGTCTTTTCCAGAACTCTTGTTTTTCAGCCGCTGAATGCTTTCAATGATAAATTATGAACACGTTTTGAAGTGATTACACATATGATATAATTCCCATCGGAATATGGGTGTGTTTTCCTAATAATAGAACGGTTGCAGTCTTCTGGAGTTAAAATATCGAATTCTAAAGACCCTATCGAGGAGCTGAATTTTGATAAGTCGCAAAAAAAAAAACAACCCAAAAACGCCACAAACTCATTCGAGTAGCTGTCTCAACAAAAAACTTTGTGTAGTTGGTTTTTGCGAATATTTATTTCATTATGCATGGATTTGGCTGGCATTAAATCGTCAACAGAACTGAGCTGTGATGAGAGACTGGCAACAACGAACTTCATGTGTCCAGACGATTGTGTGCCAACGGCAATAAACTTTCTCCACACAACTTCTGAACTTGTACTTGTACTTTCATACACTACCGGCAAGAACAAGGCCAAACAGTTTTATGTATTAAAATAACTTTATCTACGATACAAAATCAACAGGACCCTTTTATAACAAGCTGACAACTATCTTTGATTATTGAGTTAAATATCAATATGCCGAAGACAAAGACAAATAAAACAGATGCGATAACGAATGACGATTTTGGTTATTGGGCTGCTGGTCCTAATTCAACAGAGAAAGTTATAGCATCTGTCCCAGAGGGTATGTGGCTGCATCCTGATGAAATAAAAGAAATTAAAGTTGATCCAGAACCACCTTCTTCTAAAGTGAGCAATGAAGGACAAAGTTCTAAAAAGAAGAAAAAAACAGAGACCGACACTACTGATGAAGCGCCACCTGTTAAGAAGAAAAAAATCGACAACATCAATCAAGTTGAGATTAAAACATCAGAAACTGTTGACATTGATTATCTACGTGATGAATATGAAAGTGGGGCAGAGTGGAATATCCGCCGAAGTTTCCTGGCAGCGCATGTTAATTCCTATACATTAGACCGTTTAATTTGCTTGTCTCGCTGCTTCATAAACAATGAAATTTATGGCTGTCGTTATCCTGATGAAGTTATGGTACTCTTAAAAACTTTAAGATTACCCTTATCAGGGGTTATCACAGACCAAAAAGATCGATTAAAGTCCAAGTACGAAATACCATTTGTTAAATCTTCAGAGACAGGAGGACCTGAATCAAAGATAAAACAAACTGGATCAGGGGCTGGCAAGTCGGAGAAAAATGTTAATAAAGGTATGATAAACTTTGTAAAAGCTGGAGAGAACTATCAGAGTTTAGATTATTCCAAAAAGAGTGAGGAAGGTAACAATGAAGTGGCAGAAAAGTTTGGAAAAGATGGGGATGAATATCATTCTCTGTATGATAAAATGGAGGGTCGTATAGCCAAAGATGAATTAGAAAAAAAGTTTACAAATATACCAGATAATTTAAGAAAACTATTGAATAAACCAGACATGAATGTAATCAGTCAAATTTATGAGGCAGCCCAAAAATGTAAATTTGTTGTAAAATCAGAAACAGAGGTTTGTTCTGATGGATTCGAAAGCTGTGTTTATTTGGACAACATTTTGGTAGGAAAGGGTCATGGTAAAAACAAAAAATTGGCACGAACAAATGCACATGCAGATGCACATGAAAAACTTTTAAAACCTAATATAAAACTATCTGGAACTCATCCAGATGGATTAACCTTTGTTTCTTCCGATGATTCTATAGCATCAGGAAGTGGCAAACCTGAAGTTACCGGAACAAAACCTGCCAGTAATAATTCACTTCATGTACCTGCCTCGCCGAAAAATTCTAAAGAAATCTGTCCTATAAATTTAGTACCAGTGCAAAGGGATTTTGGCCATTTGAAAAAAATCTTTCGAAATCTTAAGCCATTTTATTTAAGGGAACTTGGACCAGACAGCTTTGACTTTCCTGCCTCTTGTTTGCGTCAAACGTGTGATTTTCAAAAGTTTCCCCTTGTCTACGAGAACAGAATCACGGAAGAGGGGAACATAAGGTGTACATTGTCAATTAAATACTTTCCTGTTGCCGAAGGTGTGGCCAATTTATCAAAGCAAGCTGAACAGGAAGCTTCTCGGCAAGCCCTTGAGAAACTCCGTGACATTTCTTGGACAATACGATTCAAAGGTCAGACGGATTGTGGTAATGACCGGATGTCGAAAGATTCTCTCATGGGTGAAAATAAAGATGACATTATAGAGGAATCTGAACACGGTAAAAAGCTCACTGATTCAAACATTGGTAGCAAACTAATGCGTAAAATGGGGTGGACTGGTAAAGGAATTGGTAAAAATGAACAAGGTCGCGAGGATCCAGTATTAGTGAAACAAGTTATTCATCGATCAGGACTAGGTGCACTTGATTCAAATTCTTCTATGAAAAAATTTGAATCAGTGATGTATAAAATTGTGAAGGATTACTATTTTTCATATGAAGATACCGATATGGCTTTTGCGTCTGACTTTTCTAATGATGAACGAAAAGTTATTCACAATGCTTGTCGGAAATTTCAGCTTAAAAGCAAAAGTTATGGAACTGGTGAAGAACGGTATCTTGTTATCAGTCGTCCACGAAGTGCTGAAGAACTGTTTGCATATGTTAGAAGTAAAGGTGGAGAAACCACCAAGTATGTCCTTATTCCTCCAAGACTTGAACATTTTAAATAAACTTAAAAGACTAACCTTCATCCCCATACACCACAACTACATTAATGTCAAATTGAGTAAATCACAATTTGGCACTAGGGGATGTAATTTTCTGACCCTCTCCCCCAAATTGTTCCCTTTAAATGGAAGGAAATCTGGTTTTAAAACAATAATTGAAACCACTCTATTATTCCAAATCAAAGAATATAGATTTTATGTCTCCCAAAATCTTTTTCATTTGTGCGTTGCAATAAGAGAAAGGCAGTGTAATTTTTCAGATGTATTTCTTAAGTTATTGTCAATTATGCAAAGTGTTAGTTTTGCCAACATCTGACAATAACACCATGATTATCTTACTTAAATTATGATAGCATACCCTACAGTGGATACCTTGTTTTTGTTTAGTGTCACAAAAGCCTCTTCATGGTAGACATAATATGGTAAAATGGTAGGTATATGATATATAGAATACAATATGGCTGTTATAAAATTGGTTCCACATGAAAACATGGAACCAAATAGATACATACTGTAAAAGATGAGAGTTACACATATTCATGGAACTGAACCAAAGTAACAAGCCAAACTGTGACGCATAAGGCCCGTTGACACTTGGCCACAATAAGCATGTCATTCTCAGCACAGTACCAGGCTGCGATATATTTGACGAAATTGACCCGTTTATATTACTCTTAAAATAACCAGTCTCGGCACCGTGCCAGGTACGCCAAATGTGGAACTCTTCACAGAAAAGTTAATTTCAGTCCCTATGCAGATTACCTGCATGAAAACAATTATGGCGGTTGATTTAGTTTGAGCAGCCATTTTGACATGACTGTCAAAGTTCGCTTGGGAAAAAAGTCAGGGTTCATTTGCCGCATGTGCAGTAATCTGTACTGAAACCATGCTTAGACTAGATAGCGTTTACAATACACTACGAAAATTTAACCATGCCGTGTCTGGAACCGTGCACTTCAGTGTGCCAAATTGGCATGTACATGTACTCTGTATGGCATGCTTATATTTGACACTTCACGCTTAAAATTTGTAATGTAAATAGGTTTATACAATAGGCTTCCGCAACTAATATAGACATTGAACAAAAGACATGATAACTGCCACGCTATGAAAATGCACCACTGATTTGACTGAAAGTTCTGACAAGACATAAAGGACAATGTTGGTATGTGATATAATTGGGTAACCACATTCCAAATGTAATTTTAACACAGATCTTTACTAAGGTTGATCTATAACAGCAATTTGAAGAATCTGAAAGTGGCACAAATAAAACAAATCAGTTATTGTTACTGATTGAATTAGAGAGTGGTGACATCTACACAGACGATTTTGGAATGTTAATGCAAACATTAAAACCTCTTTCTCACATGCTGTCATCGTGGTCTAATGATGTTACATTCTGAATTGCAAGATTAAAGTGTAGCTTTCAAACAAGATTTACAATCATCTTTGAACCTGAATGATGATGGAAAAAACAGCGTTTTATACGCCCCCATCCATCGGGCGGTTTGTCGGTCTGTGGACGCTCTAGAGGCTAAAGTTTATATCCGATTGATTTTAAATTTATACACAGTGTTGAGGGTCATGAGATGAAGAAACCTATTGATTTTCTGTGATTTCTGATAATTACCGCCATAGTTATGGCCCTTGATCACTTTGAAAAATCTTGTGGACACTCTAGAGGCTAAAGTTAATATTTATACACAGTGTTTAAGGTCATGAGACGAAGAGCTCTATTGATTTTCAACAATTTCCGATAATCACTGCCAGGGTTATGGCCTTTTATCACTTTGAAAAATCTTGTGGATGCTCTAGAGACCAAAGTTATCATCTGATTGACTTTGGATTGATACACAGAGTTTAAGGTCTTGTGACCAACAAGTACTGGAACAGCTAAATCCATGATATTAAATGTTTTGTATACTAAACATTAGCATGGGGCAGAACTAAAAGCCAAAGAAATTCTAATGATTTTCTGATAATTACTTAATGAGTTGTTAATTAGATTTTAGTGTATTATAAATGTTTCATTACCGACAATAGAAAAAATATTGACAACTCTTGTTGACTGCTCGGATGACTTAGCTGCTGCGGGCGTATGTTTCGTTGTCTGGCAACCTATCTGATTTCAACTTTGTCAGTTTTTGTACAGCTGTTGAGGGATTTTTGAATATCTATATAAAAGGGGTGCGTTTTCATTGTCACTGTATATTAATTCTCTAAGGTTCAGTATCATGGATATGATTAATTGATAAAGTTATGTTACCCAAAAGATGTGGGTTATGTGTTTTTGAGTTTGATTTTTTCTTTTGAAAATACATATCTAAATATTAATTAATGAAATTATTTACAGTCAGCATTTATATATGATTGTCATAATCTTCATCGGTTTTGGTGGAGCGGGAGTCAACCTAGCTGAAAAGAGTACCAATTTTCTCCTATATGGTATCAATGCATGTATATCTGGTATCATTAGAATATAAGTCTGCCGGCTATCTGGTAGTAGGTATGGTATTCCACGCCCAAAATGCCATGCCCCCAACTAGGCTAGATTAGCTCAAAAGTGTACCACATGAAAATCGTACAGCAGTGTACTGTACATCTTCAGGCATCACAAGACACTGACAAAACATTTCTAGTGGTGGGGTACCCCTGCCAGAGCTATGTAATTGCCAGACATTTGTAGTGGTGGAGTTTCCCTGACAAGAGTTATCTAATTTCCAGACCACAGTGACTAAGTCCACAACAAACAGTTTGTGATATTCTTATTTCTGTGAGTAGCAAGATAGTCAAGCTGAGTAGGTTCAATAAATTTATTCTAGCGCTTTGACTCATGATAAATACAAATATACTTTTCAAGTTTTTATATAATAAAGGGTATGCTTATTGTATTAATATATTGGCACTGGTTTTTTACAAAAAGTACATAAATAAAACAAGTATATAAATAAAAGACAAATTTCCTTGAAACATGATATGGATTCCCATTTGTATTTGAAAATGACCCACCCAGTAGAGGGTTGCGAAAAATATTTCTTAATGAAATGGGGTTTAACTTCCTACTGTTCTGCTCCCATGCTGGGCTAATGAAGACGGGCATACGCCATATAGTGTGCTATGAGACAAATTTTGCCCGGGCAGCGGCACTATCGCCTACTCTTATATCGAATTCCAACTGCTAAGGGATCTTTTACGTGCATTCCAATGTATACACAGGACCTCGGTTTTTCGTATCAGCCGAAGGACTAGACAGCTGTCCTTGTCAGGGCCTCCGTCCTAAATATTTCTTAAAATAATTGCATCATTTCAATATTACAAATGATCAGTTCACCTTCCGAGTCTTTTTGAGTCTTCTTTAAAATCTCCCAAACCCCATGAATTCCACTACAGTTAGAGAAAGTGTATTACAAGGCCCATAAAGGCAGATAAATAGAATAAGCCAAAAAATAAAAAGCGATTTTTTTGTACAATCAAGGGCTATAATCTAGGAAGTTATGGTCTGAAATGCTCAAATATCGAAAGGGACTGAGATCTTTGGGATATAAAAAGTTTTGTCAAAATAAGATAAAAATTGTGACTACCTGAGGATTCACGACCTTTGTATAACAAAGTTTTACACAATTTGAGTACAAGGAGCAACCATTTTGTTGGGCAGTTTCCTTTCGATTTTCCCGATGGTGGAATGGTGATATATTTAAACTTTTTTTTAAAATCGGATAAAATTGTGACGTCTAGAGGATCAACATTCCACAAGCTAAAAAAATATGATATTTCGTACCATCAGGGGCCATAATCCAGGAAGTTACAGTTTTATATGCACAAATATAGAAAGGAACCAAGATCTTTGGGTTATAAACATACATTTCACGTTTCATCAAAACCGAATAAAAACTGTGACTTCTAGAGAGTCTACAACCTTGGTATTACATACTTTTAGACTATTTGCATACAAGGAGCGGCCATTTTGTCCATCAGTTACGATCGGATTTTTACGAAATTCAAACTCAACCTTTATTGAGGTGTAACGGTGATATATTTAAATGTTTTTTTAAAATTGAATACAACATGATTTTTTTTAACAATCAGTGGACATAATCCTGGAAGTCACGTTTCGACATGCGCGATTATCGAAAGGAGCCAAGACCTTTGTGATGTAAATATAAAGTTTCATCAAAATCAGATCAAAATTGTGACTGCTAGAGGGTCCACAACCTTGATATACCATACCTTTACACTATTTGTGTATGAGGAGCGCCCATTTTGTCTGACAGTTTCGGTCTGATTTTCACGAAATAATGGTGTTACGGTGATATATTCAAATGTTTTTTTTAAATCGCATAAAAATTGTGTCCTCTAGTGGGACCACAAGCTAAAAACGTGATTTTTCGTATTATCAGGGGCCACAATCCAGGAAGATGCACGATTATTGAAAAGAATCAAGATCTTTTGGTATAAGCATACATTTCAAGTTTAATCAAAATTGGATGAATATTGTGTCCTAGAGTGTCCACAAGCTAAAAATGTGATTTTTTCTTACAATCAGGGGCCGTAATCCATGTAGTTACAGTCCAATACATGCCAATTTCGAAAGGAACTGAGATCTTTGGGAGATAGACCTATATTTCAAGTTTCGCCAAAATCGGATAAAAATTGTGACCTGTAGTGTGTCCACGACAATATATATGAAAATGTGGGCATATAAAAAGATATTGTCAATAGAAAAGAGGGGAGCACACCCTTAGCCTGTTCACATGCTTCTATTTCATCTGAAGAACAGAACTAAATGTGGACTCAACTAGATAACTTGTGTGATAGTATACAAACAATTTTGTACTTAATTTTACTTTGATATGGTTTGATGTTTGAAAATTCTGATAAATATAACTCTGAACCAGCCACAATAGTATCATAATTCAATTACTAATTACTAAAAGTTAATGGATATGTATAGTTGTTGATTAAGAATTCAACATAATGTAACCTCTAGAAACTATTTTGGCGATCATTTCCAAACAGGAACTCTACATAATTATGTAAAATGATCTAATTATTTACATCTTGATATTTGATTTGCAGACTTCAACAAATTCAGAGACCCTGTAAAAACTTGGACTGCAACTTCAAAATCTTTTACTCCTACGTTTTATTCAAGAAATACACAAAAGAACATTTATAAATATTATACAGTATTATGCATGTCCATCTTCAAAACGTTTTTGTTTACCAGCCATAATGGCTGCCTTGAACAGTCTACAATAATAGTCCACAGCAACTGGTGTGTCATCATTGCCGGGTACAGGATAACTAATTAACCTGGGGTCACAGTTTGTATCGACAACTCCTACCGAAGGTATCATTAACTTGGCTGAATCAATCACAGCTATATGAGTGTCAAATACACTATTCAAACAATTTATAAAAATACACAATTCAGGTAATCGTGTAAATTGGGAAGTGACATTTGTAAAAGTTCCTCCCTTCCAATACCGACAGTGGGCATATTCTCCGCATTCCCTTGCAGTTTCTTCCACCAGAGGAAGTGTTTGACGATTACGACTAATAAACAGAATTATGCCACCACGATAGGCTATGTGTGCTGTAAAATTCAAGGCATCTTGTAGTAATGTCTTTGTTTGTTCCAAGTCGATGATATCCAGTCCTAATCTATTACCATAAATGTATGGAGCCATAAACGGATTGCGACATCCAGACTTATGTCCCAGGTGCACATTAGCAGAAAACAACTCTTTAATTGTCACTAAATGTTTTATATTAAAGTAATCATCATGTCGTAAAACCTTGACATTCTGAACCGAATCATCCAAGTCTGTTTCATTAACTGAAATTACACAAAACAAATCAAGTACAGTTAAAGGAAAAATCATAAATATATTCCAGTGAATATATATCGTTGACAAACAATCACCTTCTATTCTGCCTGGATAAAAATGTGCAGTGCTGTTACAATATACTTTCAGGTTTTTGGGGGAGGATGGTTGAGGTACAAAGGGCCGTTCAGCAAGCAATAGCATTTGTAGGTTATTGCAGAGTTGAACTCTTGGCAAAGTCGACAAACATTATCGAAAAGTGATTTGTCTGTCCAAAAATTGAAAATTGTACCTCGTATACACAGGGAAAAAATAATCGCTTTTGTTATTTGTAATCCTATATTAATGGAGAGAGAAATGGGGTTTAATGTCCACTTTATTTTGGGGCTAACATATGATCCAATTGATTTCAATAATTCTCTTTCACGTATAGATCTTTTGCCATGGGAGGAAATCGACGAAAACCCATGAGGTGGTTAGACAGGCGACCACTGCTCCTTGTCACGTACAAGCAGTGAATCGAAACCACACCTGAGACCTTATGATGTAACATGCACGCGTTTAACCATCCAGCCACCCAAATAACTAGACTATATTTCTACTGAAAATCATCTTAAGATAGATTGATGCCATTATGTCAAAATTTTAGGGAAAAGAGCATTACACTTTATCTCTAAGACACAAAACTATCATTAATAACAATCAAGGCGCCGAGCCTTGCCGCATTAAACACTTGTACAATGTACATTACATCATTTTACACAGACTTAGAGCCAGAGTGCCTCATTGAGTCTTGCTCTGGCTCGAGAGGTCCCAGATTTAATCCCTCAGGATTTTCCAGCCTGGCTTCCCCTTGTCAATGGTGCAGGCGAGGAAAAGTAGTTAATCAGATGGAATGAAAAAAACAAAATTCACTATGTAGGCTACTTGTGACGTTGGTGTGCATGTAAAAGAGCCCTGTAATTTGATGAAGATTGGTCAGAAACACCACTGACCGGGTAAAATTGTCACCTGGTACCACTGCATGGCATATGTCCATCTTCATTAGTCTGGTCAGGGCAGAAAAGTAATGTATATAAACATAGTTAAATATGTTGAGATAAATCTGATTAGCTTGTTTTTTTAGCTATGATTTGATGTTATAGTTTGACACTGCAAACTCATTTTGTCTATTAATGCCTGTAACGTTTTAAAGATAATTACATGTAGGCCTACAAATGTTTTACTATTATGATTAATTAAATAAAACCAGCCAGTGTAGCGACACAACTTTAGCATCACTACAAAAATTATCATTTAAATTAATCAATTGTTGTTTTTTGCCAATTTCGACATTAAATTTTAAATTACAATGTATTACACATGCTTGTCGCCCTGGAGACACGCAGGTAGAGAGAAGAGGTAGGCTATCTTATAGCATACTCCTCGCAGTGTTTCATTTGATTAGAGCTAATCCCACTAAACACTGCTTTTTTGGAAGCAAATATCTGTTCCAAATTATGACTGGTCAATAGTCCGATTAACAACCAATAGCTAACTGCGTAATAATATCGTTACATTTTAAACTAGGCTCCAAATTGGACCAAATATGTTTACATGTCTCCAGAGGCTATCAACCTGAATACAATGTAAACAATACTGTATGGAGACAAAGAATACTTTCACTGTTTTTAATACCTTAAATCACTGACCAAAGTTTTAGGGAAGACCCCAGATTAAGCGAAGGGCTGTCATGTTGCTGTACTTGGGATAGATTTAATACACACAATCCAGCAATGGGCAGAGAGGGATTTCTCAGACCATTGCTTCAGGAATATGATCTTATAGTTAAACCCCACTTCATTTTATATGTGCTTTGTGTAATTCCATACCAGGCAGAGAGTTTGCTTAGAATTACACACTGTTCATTTACCTGTTTGTGTGGGTTGAGATGACGTAGATGAATATAGACGCGAATTGCCTGCTGCCTTAACAAACTGTGACGATTGTCTTCTGAATTCTGAAATGCATAAAACATAAATTTTGGAACCTTAAAATAAACAAAGATAGGTTGCCAGGCAACGAAACATATATGCCCACAGCAGCTAAATCGTCTGGGCAGTCAACAAGAGTTGTCGCATATTTTTACTTTTTCAGTAATGAAACATTTATAATACACTAAAATCATTAGAATTTGTTTGGTTTTTATAAATTTCTGCCCCATGCTAACGTTTAGTATATGAAATATTTAATATCATGGATTTAGCTGTTCAATATCCTTCATTATTTGTTCGTTTCATGACCTTAAGCTTTGTGTATCAATCTGAAGTCAATCGGATGATAACATAAGCCTCTAGAGCTTCACAAGATTTTTCAAAGTGATCAAGAGCCATAACTTTGGCAGTAATTATTGGAAATCATTGAAAATCAATAGGATTCTTCGTCTCATGACCTCAACCACTGCGTATAAATTTAAAGTCTGGCAGTTATTATCCGAAATCGCTGAAAACCAATAGGCATCTTCGTCTCATGACATTAAACACTGTGTATAAGTTTAAAGTCAATCAGATATTAACTTTAGCCTCTAGAGCGTCCACAAGACACAAGCAATGTGGATGCCAGACCAACAGGACGGATAGACGGACGGGGGCAATGACAATATTCGACCACATTTCATTGTGGGAGTATAAAAATTGAACTATGTAATATGAATGTATATAAAGTGATTTTTATTCAAGTTATTAAAAAAGATTTTTGTGCCTCCTTCTTAGTCCATTCTACAGTAGCCTACAGTATTTACTATTATTGGGCTACACATTCTGAGTTCAGGGTGACCACCCGTCCTGCAGAATGCTTCCAAGTCCCGCGTCCCGAAAACCAGTTTACAGAAACAGACTTGATTTAGGAATGACATTGCTTCTGATCTCTTAAACGTGGACGAGAAATGGATGAAAGCATGGACAGGTCCATGATAAAGGTGATTAATTCTTCAATTAATGTGTCGTCCGCTACACCAGCAAATTTAATCAAATTATACTTCCCTTTGGTCTTTCCATGCCAGTTTGCAATGCTTATGTTGAGCGCATATTTTCACTGAAGAAAAATCATTGCAGAGATGACAGAACTAAACCAGGCATCATTAAAAATTATTAGATATGTGAAATTCAAATTAAATCAAACTTTAAATATTTGTGCCAGGCGTTTCACAAAATTAATTAAGAAATCGCAGATTATTAGAAGGCATGAAGTCGAACAAGAAGTACCCTACCCTCATAAACTCATTAAACTATCTTTTGATGTTATGCATTCAGGAGAAAATCACAAGTAATCACTAAAAAATCAGAGTATTTCAGTACCATATTTCTTGTTCTCAGATTGCTTGGAATGGCGTTTCTGGGCTTCTAGTTTTCAAATTTCCCCCCCCCCCCCCCACACACATCGCTATCTCACGCTCACGACGTTCGGGGTGAGCTGTTCCGTCGCCCATGGAGTCGCAGAAAATAAGAGGGTTTTTGAGTAACATAACATATATTTTTTCTGAAATGTCCCGCAATATGATCAAGCAAGGTGGTCACCCTATACACAACTCGTGTTGGCTAGCCTTCCTACCACTGATTTTAAAATGTTCATTATGTCTTAAATTTGGATATTAGAATCCCATATTTTCACGACAAGATAGCAACATCAATATTGATTGAAATGGACCAATATTGAATTCTTTTTCGTGTTTTTAATTTCGAATATTAGCCTATTATTATGGAAATTGGCGGATCTCTAACCAATAATAGGCAGACAATCACTCAATCAATCATAATCACGGAGCTGAACACTGCAAAATTGTCCGCTTCTATTCATCGCTATGCCAGTTACCACACTGACGGACATGTACAAAGATACAATGAATTACCAAATGTGCAAAATGTTTTAAAATTTCTTCTCAACACGTTTACCAAGGGCATCGCCATTTTGGTCAACGGGTGATAACTCTTGTTATTGACCTACATTACCAATCTGTTTCACAGCGTAGTGTTCAGTGTGCTAGACATCACACGAGAGCTGGAAACTGTACCAATTTAACGGTAAATATTTTACATTTTGGACGCCTGGCATTGTTGATATGTGATGATTACTCGATGAAAAATTATGCAAATGTAGCAAAACAATGGGAGCACCCGCTCACCTGAAAATCAGTAAAGCTCATTGCATTTGCAAAAATAGCATTTATCTTTTGCGCTGTTTAAGAATCGCGCAATATATTGAATCGACACCTGGTCCTCATTGTTTAATCCTGAGTTTTATTTATAAATATACCGAGAATACAATTTGTGTAGGCCATCGAATTTGTTTTAAAAATATTTTATTTTTTGTCTTATTTATGTCCAAAATATGCATTTATCATTTTTGACAATTCAGAACTACTTACCAAGTCGATCACGCATGATTTATTCGCAGATTTGTTGCCATCTCCGCTGAATTATGCTTTAACACGTCTGATATGTATAGGATATTAACCTATCCGAGGTTGATATGATAGAGAAGACGCGGGTGAAACCCATTAAATGTCCTCAATCATATCATTCCGAAGGGGGAAAGGTTTATATCCGACATATTATAACGTCATAGTTTTAATCGCGTCATTAAACTAAAAGAATTCTTCCATTTGAAGTCAACGATGATTCGATAATGTTTTGATAACTTTCGCTAAATAATGAAAATTACCGAATGTTCGTGCAGTTTTTTTTTTTAAACTATACCTTCTCGCCATTTTGGAGAAAAGCTTCATATGAATTGAAAGCAAAAATAAAATGGATAGTAATATATTATCACTATCAGACGAAGACCCCTTTTAGCCAACAGATTGAATGTGAAATAGATAAATGCAAATTCCGACGAGGATCTACTATAGTTGCTAGTCAAAAAGCTGAAGAAAGTTTGGATCAGAAGGCAATGTGTTGCGATTTTTCTGACTGTGAACCTGAAAGGTTTTTAGTATGTTCTTAGAATTTGACGGGCTGTGTTAAGGGGACCGTCCCCAAAAATTCTTAACGAAGGGAGTGTTGGGCTATAAATACTTTCAAGCCTTGTTTGGAGTGTGTGGAGAAATAATTCTACATGTGGGCGAAAAGAAAATTCTGAAAGATATTTTAGACATGGATAATCGAAGTGTTGAGGGTAAGTTGAAAGTTTCCTTAAGATATTTTTATAAGCCTATAAATTAAATAAATAATAATCGTTTTCTATAGCGCTGAACTTTCAGTTATCTGACTATAGTTATTTTGTACATATCGAATTATCGAGGGTAAGTTGAATTTTTCTTCTGGTATTTTTTATGAGCTTTTGTAACCCATAATTTCTGTGTGCATATCTTTCAGGTGTCAGAGTATACACAAGAACAAAAGTGATTTGCTACATGAAAGAGGGTTGAGTTCCAGCAATGCAACTGATGCAAAAAATACGAAATTAAGTGTCCGATCCAAATATACCGATAAGTACACCTGCTTCGGTACTGAATGTACCATAAACATTTGTAATTGTCAAGAGAATAAAAATAAAAAAAGTGATTTCTGTGTTCTTTGTAATATTTCATCAATGTCACCAGAGGCTGATTTAGAGGTTGATATGAACCGAATATATCAATCTATGGTGACGTCATGACAGGTTGATATGAGATATAACTTGTATGCACATCAAAGAAAAAACTACCGCCAGTTATATACATATATCGCAGTTTCTGTAGCTTGATATTTTCTTCCTTTTTTTTTTAAATTTCACTTATTCCATATTTTGAGAGGCAAATTATATCTTCATCCTGGTGACCAGCTTCACCATGTCAAGGTAGCAGCTATATATCATGGTGACTGATGGTATGTGATGGTATGTGATGTCGTGGTGTCGCCCTTCATAAGGCGACAACCTGACATTTTAACTCGACACCACGATGTTGTTGTTGTTGTTAGTTTTTAACGTCCGCTTCCACCGAAGGTGATATCGCAGACAAGTTGTCTTTTTTTTTTATTTTCATTATCTTAGCGCACGCGCAGGGGTCTTTCCTGTGGGAGGAAACCGGAGTAAACCCACGAGGTTGAGAAGGCGCCCCTATCTCCAAGCCACATACGCTCACACCAGGGATCGAAACCACAACCGCAAGCCAGAGGTGACCGGCCAGCTAGAGGTCGAAGCGTGACACTCTAGACCACTAGGCCATCCCAACCCCCCAGACACCACGATGTTCATGTGGTACACTTTTGAACTAATCTAGACTAGTTGGGGGCATGTCATTTTGGGCGGGGAATCCCACACCCACCACCAGAAACCCGGCAGACTTACATTCTGATGATACCAGATATACATACATTGATACCTTATAGGAGAACATTGGTACACTTTTCAGCTAGGTTAACCCCCTGGGCACCCGCTCTAATTGCACGTAAAGGTTTCCCTCATAGTACACTCATGTATAGGGTATGTCCGTCTTCATTAGCCCAGTCGGAGCTGAACAAATTGAAGCGAAATGGAGTTGAACTGTTCTGCTCCGACTGGGCTAATGAAGACGGGCTTACGCCATACAGTATGAGGGAAATTTTGCCTGGATAGCGGCGCCACGGCCTACTCTTATATCGAATTCTAACTGCCAATGGATCTTTTACGTGCATGCCCATGTATACACGGTACCTCGGTTTTTCGTCCCATCCGAACGACTAGACAGCTGTCCTTGTCAGGCCCTCCTTCCTGTACCCCTGCTAAATAATCTCGATGAACTTTCTCGGCGAGCCCCGGGAGAGAACCCACGACCAAGAGGCTAGCAAGCCAGCGTCTTACTCACTTAGCCACCGTGGCTCCCGGAGCAGAACAGTGGGACGTTAAACCCCATTTCATTTCATTTCCCTACTTTTCTGCACTGATCGAACTATTGAAGACAGGCGCATACGCTATGCACTGTGATATGACCAAAATTTTCAATGGTCCGTGCATGGCATTTCTTCATCGAATTTCAACTATGAAGGTTTCTGTTATGTGCACGCCAATGGTTTCACAGGAGCTTGTTTTGTTTTTTTTGTACCATCTATAGACATCTAGACACTGTTCTTTGCCAGGCCCTTTGTCTTGCACTACCGACAGGGAGAAGCCACGCTGCAAAATCCCGAAAATACGACATTTTTACGCGACATTACGACGGTGTTTTTATTAAAATTGATACGGACATTCATAATTATAGTGCATTAGCCATGCACAACATCCTACTTGTGGTTTTATATCCCGTATCTTGATTGGCTTTAGTTCAGGACATAGTATATTTAGCCCTGCCTTCATATTATATACTCTTCAAAAAAAGTAGGGGATATTCAGAAACAATACAAAACTGCGGAAATGTACTGCTGTTTTATTAGAGGTAACCAGTGTATGTTAATAACAGGTCAATTGCGTACACATGAACATAAACAGTTCATATGGGCTGCTTATCTGACGGCCCCATTTCACTCGCAAAGTACAGTGTCAAAAGTGAAAATGGACGTTTTTGATTTTTGTTAATAATGAAATTGCTCCACCCATCCTCAGACATTCAGCAATTCGTCGTGGCATGCTCCTAATCAACCGTCCAATCACGATTTGGGGCAATCTGACCCACTCCTCTTGCAGTGCCACGGCCAATTCTTGCAGTGTTGTCGGTTGACGCATTATCATCTTGAAAGATGAAACGTCGACATGCACGTTGAGCAAAGGGAAGAAATATCGGTGCCAGGATGTGGTCACGGTAGTACACACCAGTGATCCTTCCTTGTACAATATGCAAGTCCGTTCTGCCAGTCATAGTGATTCCTCCCCACACCATAACAGACCCACGCCCGAATCTGTCATGCTGTCTGACGTTAACGTTAGCATGACGCTCATTAAATTTTACACGCCTCGGTGAAATCCAGAGTAAATCTGGACTCATCTGAGAACATCGCACGCGCCCATCGACGATTACCCCAATTTCTACGCTGCCTACACCATTGACGCCTGTTTGCCACGTGCTGGGGAGTTAATGGAGGCACAACACATTAAGCACGTTGGCTACTGCTCGCCGTGTAGAACCCATTTGAAGCATGCCGATAGCACGTAGACGTTCATCATGTTGAAGACGTCTCATTGCAAATTAAACGTAACACACTAAAGCAAAGATACGCTAAACAGTAAATCTTATGCAAGAAACGATAGGAAAGCAAACATGGATATTGTAAACGAGCACGCGGCAGTTTCCATCAACCCTTCTTTGAAGTGTCAAATTTGACAATGAACCTCTCCCACGTGTATGGCGCTATTGCGTGTTGCACATGCAGCTCAGTGGTTCTGTTGGGGCGATAAGTTCTTCATCTGTGAATATACTCTCAAAGCATGTCACGTGTCCATGAATATTTATCATATCACAACCTGGATAGGTATTTGCCTGGAATTGCCTTCCATTACTTTCTTACACAAGGGAACCAATTTCAAATCAAGCTTTTTAATTAAAACGGCTAAAACTTAGTGGCATACCTGGAATTGCATCCCATTACGTTCTTACACAAGGGAACCAATTTCAAATCAAGCTATATAACATCTCTCTCTTGAGAAATCGTAGTTTGTTTACATCGCGCTACTGAACATCAGCCATGTTTGACCTCGTTACATGTAACTGGAATAGTCGAAGACGGATGGAGGCGTTGTTTTGGCTTTAAGTCGTTTAGGCCAACTTGGATGTTAAGGAAGTTGTTTCGGCCCAGTAGAATATGAATTTTATTTTTTAAGGGGTCCAAGACCACAGTTGTTTGTCCAACTGACTTGAATATTTAATTGGACCCGAGGGCTGCAGCGTTTTGATATTATTATTGTTCGATTTATATAGCGCTTCATTACACGTGAAGTGTTTCTAAGCGCATATCACAAACATATACTTCAAACACACAGAAACAATCAAAATCAGGAGAACATAATTAAACACAGCTGCCTGTTAGGCGCTATTATTCAAAGGTTTATATCCAACAAATCAACCGGCTAATCTCTATATTGAACTCAGTCGAGGTATTACCTGATGAACACCTACACCAAGTAGAGTTCAAAAATAAAAACGAAGTTTAAAAGAATCAACTTCATTAACAAAAATTAAACAATCAAAAACTAAACAGATAAATCAAATTCAAACGAAACAAATAAAACAAAGAAAATGAAAAAAGCAGTTCATTACCATTCTACATTAACAAAATAAAGGAAATCAACTTGTGAAAAATTTTCAAAAATGTTATATAACTTAAACATAACTATCATTCACAAAAATAATACATGTATAAATTATTATTCTAAAAATTACTGACTGTTATAAAAGATTTAAATGAAACAGATTAAGCTTTCACCCCACTGAAATTTGTTGTAAGTACATGTCATGTACATTATGTAAGATTTAGATAAAGAGCTGTCCGTTCCTGCTATAAAACCTCAAAAATAGATAATGCAAAATGAATATATTGAAATTTATCTCACATTACTATTATCTGATTGAATCCAAGCCGGAATATCTAAAGTTTAAATAATTAATCTGAACAATCAGCGTTGATGTTTCTAGTGGGTTACCCGCAGTTCCGTGCACCTCACGCCAAAAACCTGCCGTTGACAGACTGTTTCATTGACTAATTCCTCACACCATCCAGAACGCAAGTTATTGATATAAACTACATACAGATTTTATCCCGAACTGGCACGTGATGGAAATAACTTGATCCAGAATATGCGCAAGTCATCGCGGGTTGCATAGTTATTCCTTTGCATAAGACTTTGCCTTGAGAACTCTCGAAAATTTTAAACTTGAATTTAGGCTGGAGTGATGACAAACTAATTGTATATGTAACCTAATTTATCACGAAGCCTTCAAATCGGTTCCCGCCCCTTGCTTTGCTTATTTACGTGGGCTATCAGCTAAATTGAGATAAAATAATATTTTGTATCAATAATTATTGTGTATACTATGCCGTTGATTCTGTGCCAATCGGATAATTATTATTTAGTTTATACGCTACAAACTGTATCTCCAAATGGAGATAATTTAGATAAATATATTTTTAATATTTATTTACAGCTGATCACTTCAGAACCATTGTACTTTGGAAAACTAATAAAGTGTTTATAAAAAATGCCACATTTCCAGACTTAGCTCTCAAAACCCAAGTGGCTTAATGAGCAGTTTCTGCGGAATAAGCAAGTGGAAACAGAACATAATATTAATCCAATCAAAAAACAATAGTATTTAACGCAAGCTTCTTAATAAGTATTACTGCCGCAAAACAAACGGGCGAATTTTCCTATTTCTAACCGAATGTACCCGATTTAGAGATCCCTGTCTACCCTTTACGCGAAATGCAAGTCTCCCAATTTACGCAGACGCACTCGTAATGTTTATTTTCTGAAAATGAAACGATGTCGAAATATGTGAAATTTACAAGAGTAGTGGAATTTTATCAAACTTCTAGGCGTTAAGGCTTGACGAAGAGCAACGAGGTGATAATTGCTGGTATGTCACCAAGTTTTGGCAGTTTGAAATAAAAACTGGAGACATGACGAGGAATTTTAGAGTCGTAGTATCTCATGGAACAGACAGTATACTTCAATACAATGCAACAGTTCAATTCTACATTTTTATGTCAAGCTGGATACATACGGTTACAATGCATAATAGATGACATTGGCATACTTAAAATTAACATCTTTCTCTCAACCCCAACTCCTGTAAAAGTCTAACCCAATGATATCTAATCTTAATTGGCCGGTTTGGGCTTTTTAACAGATTTGCTTACGTCATGGCTTAAAATTCTGCAAATAATGAATTTGATTGGATGGTTACAGTGATGCAATTAGTAAATTTCCAATCACGCGTTAAACATGAGATTCTGGTTTCCACGGAATCAGCTATGTTTAGTTTTTATAAATCTTTTTATATTATGTCAAGCATTCACTCATTTTTATTTAAGTGCATATGCGATAATATGACTTCTATACAATGTGTGAATCTGATAATTAGCCAAAGATATAAATATTATTGATAAAATGCTACTAATTTAAAGAGCAAAAATTCTACCAATCTTACTAGAAAAGCCAGGAATTATCGCATCGATTCAAAACAGATGATTTGTGCCTGTGTCAGGTTAGATTATGTGCTTAATTGTAGTTGAATGTGGCAGAAATGTAATAAATGGCAATATTCAATCGTTGTTTTGAAGAACAAATTGACAGTTTTGTTGTTTGATGTTCGATCTGATTCGCTTCGGGATTTTGCCATGTAAACTATACTATAGTATCATCTCTTATCTCGAAACACGAAGGGCTGAGAGATAAGGTTTCTTATCTAGATTGGAACGAGGATGGCAACGCGTATCAGTCGGCACCTGATTGCCACCATCCCAGAGGTGATCAAGTAGCTTTATCAAAAGGCGCCTTAACAAATGGAATGAGCCGACGAATTTCCTTTCTAGTTCTCCCTTTCCCACTCCATGCTAGACTAGGTTTTCATGTACATAACCTTATTGGCCTAAAATATAATGAATGATTTAAGTATATATCAAGGATATGGCCCGAGGGGCGAATTAGTTTATCATTTGAACTGGGCTGCAGTCATGTTACATACCAACTTATAGGTTTTAAGGCCAAGGGAGGGCATGTCACAAGAAATTATTGAATGAGGTTCGTTACATATTTGAATATGTTGAAATTTGCATTTGATGCATCCAATTCATCATTATGATAAGATATATGCATTAAGTTTTGCAAGTCATCATGATAAAACGTATACTTTACCAGTGTTTATTACAATTATACGTGTCAAGAAATGGGTAGGTTAGTTGTACAAGTGTATTATCTAAGCTATAAATAGTATATTGTTCAGCTACTTAAGAAATGACCTGAATTTTCGTATCTGTAAATGTTGGATATATGACAATTTATGTCTACTTCAAAACTTGTAGCGTGTTTGTTTTTGGCTCGAAAATCCGCCCCAGATCCTTTTTTTTTCACTTCAGCATACAAATTTTTTAAAACTAATATGCATGGTAGCGGTTCTAACTGACCAGAAATTAGGTAAAGATAGAAAATTAACCGGTGGTCAGGTTGTATTAAATATTTTTTTCATGTTATCAGCAGGAACCAACATGGATGTCGTAGAGAGATTTAAAGTAAATCGTGATAAGGGGCTAGCCAGTGGCTGTATTTCCTTAATGGAGGGCATTCCTGGTGTCGATACTTTAAAACCTTGTCAAGAGATTCTAAAAAAAGCTACAACACACTTGTTAGTAAGTTCTCAATTTATGTTGACAGGCGGACGCCAATAATACTTAATCGTTAAACGTACTGTTTCGTAAACTGATAGATAAAACCCGTATCAAAGCCCACCCCATCGGCAATTTTAGTTCTGTATTCTGTTTTGTTATCTTTTATTCGTATGACAGATTTATACCGGTGGTCTGGTAAATGTATAATTGCTTTCATTGATGGTGGTGTGGTGGTCGAGCATATACAAAACTATCAAGGGTATTTAATTAGGTGCGGGTTTCTCGATCTTTTAGAAAGCCTCTATGTTTTAATGGGTACTTATCCTCTGCATTGCCTTATTTATTTCTGTAATTATTTTTTATAGGAGTCTGAGCTAAATACATCACGAACATTTGCCTATGGACCCGAACAGGGTGACGAAGAAGTAAGACGCGTACTAGCCAGCTTCTTAACGGAACAATATGGCCACGAGGACCCCGTCGATGCGTAAGTTTCCAGTGCTTTGGGGCGAAAATTCAGCCTGGGTTACCCTTTAACTTTTTGACTACTGTAGTACAAGGCCTGACTGAAAAGTTCTAAGCCTGAAAAGGATAGATCAATTTGGTTGAAACAAACTTTTGTCACCAACAAGTACAATCATTGAATGAATCATAGGCATAAGAACTGCAACTGTAGTGTTATTATTGTCTTCGTACCAGACCATCTTGTAAACCTTCCCATTGAAATCACAAGAAATGGACAAAAACTGGCTATAGGGCAGTCAGCAAGTACCTGCAACTGAAAGAACTACCCCAACACAGATAAATGCCAACACTGTCTCCACTTTAGGGGATGGTGCCCCTTCCTTTTCCACATTAAAGAAGTGGGCTGCGGAATTTAAGCATGGCAGAGAGAGCCTTGACGATGACACGCGTCATGGAAAGCCATCAGCAGCAACAATTCAAGAAAACACTACCCGGGTGCATGACATGACGAGCTATAACAGTTAAAAACTAGATAATGTAAAGGGAATATGCTAAAAATTTCAGTCAAATTGCTCCACTCTGAACCAAGATATAAGGGATTCAATATTAGTCTAGTCTCAAACGTTATTAAGTTAGGTTTGAATTTCAGGCCTAGTCTCAATCATAATTACTAAAGTCGGTAGGATAAAAAAACATAGTTTCGATTATCCATTTTTGGATTAAATCATTAATGAGCGTTGAGCAGCAAATCGGATTCAAATCCAGTGAAAATCCGACACATAAGATGGCATCGAGAGTTGAATAAGGTCTTTTCATGTTAATAAATGTCTATATTATAACATTTCAAGTCCAAAGAAAGACCTGCAATAGGCAGATTTAGCTTTTGCATGATGTATGTTTAACAATGTTGTAGGCATATCTCATGAGAGGGTTGAGCACATTATCGCCACAGAGTTAGGAATGACAAAAGTTTCTGTACGATAGGTGCCAAAAGCTCTTTACTGTGGATCAGAAACGTGTCAGATTCCTGACGCCACATGACCATTAAAGCCATTTGGAAGCAGATCCTGATAAGTTTTTGGACAGATTTGTAACCATGAGTGAGACTTATTTTCCAAAAATGAAAAGGGAAAATAGCCGGTCGTCATTTTCCTAGTAATGAAATGGTCATGTCAGCTGTGAACTGTTTTTTTAGGGTGGCTGAAGAAAAGTTCTTCCTGAATGGCATCAAGGCCTTGCAACATCGTCGGCAAAAGTGTGTACACCTGGAAGGGAACTATGTAGAAAAAAATAAATGGAAACCATCGACTTTATACAGGTCTTTCACAGATAGCCCTCGTATCATATAGTACAGGATGCCGCAAATTTGACTGGAACCGGAATAGGTTCTCGATTATTCTTGGGGCCCGCTTTCCGCTCGGTACCTTATCTCTTTTCAGTTTCATTAAAGCGACCTTAGCATTTGACATCTAAGTGGTAGAAATATAATATACAAAATGTTACTTAATAGAATTAAGCCAAACCGGGTACTGAATTAAATCGCGTCACCGTGGTGGCCGTGTGACTGAACTGGGTACACTTATCTTGAATAATGTTACAGAATGGGCTTAACGTCTCTTCAACACAATACTTGAATGTGGGCCGCGTGAGTAGGAGAATTTGGACTAGACAGTGGCGTTTTCTCCTAGTCTTGTTCAATTTCTAACATTCTGTGTTTAACTAATTAAAATAATGCATATAAATTTTATACATATCAGACGATAAATGTTTATAAAGGGTTCACAATGTCCTACAAAGTGAAACAAGGACGATAACTCTAGAAGTAGTTAACGGAGATTAAATAGGATTCTTGGTCTCATTGATATAAACAACTTATACGTTCACGGCAATATTTGCACGAATAGACCTCGGTTTTGACTCCCTCCCAAAAGACTAGACACACCTTTCTTGTCAGCCACACAGAGTAGTCATGCACTAGTACTAATTTAGCGAACGGTAAACACATTAACAGAACACAGTTCTTATGGGATACAATCACTAGTTTTATGTATATATATTGACCTCAAGTTTACTAAATGTCATTGTGCTTGATAACGATAAGAGGATACTTGTCGAAACGTCGTGCTTTTAGAATAAAACCAGTGATTGTATCCCATAATTTAGTACTAATTTAGCCAAAAATAAAAATTGATTTATGTCATAATGGCGGATTCGTTTCTTTTTCAATCGGCTATTTCAAACATCAAACAGTAGCAGCAGGCTATAATCAGATGATTAAGATCCATTGCTTACTACCCAGAAAGGTGATTAGGGTAGAATTTTATGCTTTATGTAGGGAACTGTGGTAAGCAATTTTATGTTTTATTTTACTATAAAATAATAAAGCATTTATCAATGAATATATTTGTTTTAGGGATAAAATAATCTTAACAGCAGGAGCTACACAGGGAGCGCATCTTATGGCGACACTACTATTTGGTCATGGAACCACATGTTTTATAGAAGATCCTACCTATTTTATCATGCATAAAATGTTATCACAGGATCTGAAGATGAATTTAATACCAGGTATATTTAAATGTATAATTGGGTATTTGAATTATTATCCCCCTGTGTTTTGCGAAAGTGGGCGCCTATTAAATTGGTCCCCTCCGTCCTTCCACCATGCCCCCCTCCCGTCCCTCCCATCACACTGTTTGAAGACCAATAACTTTATTTCTAGTGAATAATCTTGCCTAAATGAAAGTTACAAGTCAAAGTTGACCAAATTCAGATTATGTCATGACGCTTGTCTCCCAAAACAAAACAATGCATGCTTTACAAGATATATGATATAGAAATAAGGTGACCAGTCTTGACGGTGGTTGTGCCAATTAAAACGTCAATTAACATTAAGAAATTCTGTTTATTTTTATACGCCCACGTTGAAATGTGGTCGTATATTGCCGTCGCCTCCGTCCGCTTGTCGGTCCATCCGTTCGTCGTCAACAATTTCCTGTGATCAGACTACATTTATTATCTGATCATTTTAAATTTATATAATGTTGTTTATATTAATGAGACGAAGAATCCTATTTAATCTCCGCTAACTACCTCTAGAGTTATCGTCCTTGTTTTCTTGTTTTACTTTGTAGAACATTGTGAACGCTCTATAGACAACATTTATCGTCCGATATGTATGAAATTTATATGCATTATTTTAATTAGTAAAGCACAGAAACCTATTGAATTTCGGTAATTTCCGTAAATAACTTCAAGAGTTATGGTCCTAGGTCAGGGGCGTAAATGTGGGGTGGGGTGGGGGGTGTACCACCACCCCAGGAAAAAAAATAGTCGGTCGCAAAATCAGTGCAGTCGGTCGCAAAATCAGTGCAGTCGGTCGCAAAATAAGAGCAGTCGGTATCAAAATAAGTGCTGACTGCACACGTCTCGCTACTCACGCAAAACTTTAGTATAAAATAACCTTGTCAACTTAATGTGTTTCACTCTTATTCTGTTGTGAGTATGTAGGTCTAAGAACAAAATTTCCCCCAGGGAGAAAAATAGTCGATCTCAAAATAAGTGCAGTCACTGCAGTCGGTCTCAAAATTATGCATCGCCGTCTTAATAAATTAATGAGGTAAACAAATAATACCAGAATAGATCCCAAATACTAGTCGGTCGCAAAATCAGTGCAGTCGGTCGTAAGATATGAGCAGTCGGTATCAAAATAAATGCTCACTGCACACGTCACTCTACTCACGCAAAACTTTAGTATAAAATAACCTTGTCGACTTATCATGTTTGAAAAAAAAATGTTTTTCACCCCATGGCAAAAAAATAGTCGGTCTCAAAAAAAAGTGCTCACCGCAGTCGGTCGCAGACTAAATGAATTAATGGGGTGTTTTCTGACCATCAGAATTCTGCAAAATCTCTCCCCAAAGTCCAGGGCATTTCAGAGACCAAGTAAGCGCCCCATTGAGGTAAAGTGCCCTCAGGCCCAGTCCTCAAAAATTAAAAGCTCAGTTACATATCGGCGCTCAATTCCATTATGCCATCATTCTTCAACTCCTTCTCTGGCTTTTACTATCTCATCACTATCATATTCACAGTTACAGTGAATCGCCCAGTTAGTAGTACCACTAGTGCGTGGGTCAAAAGACTGTAGAATTGTTAGTTCTACTCTCACAAAACAGGCGACATTGACAGATAGGCCTCAAGATTCTGTCCCATTTCTTATCCTCTCGTTAACGAGAATTTGGATCCATTTGCCATGACATTGACTAAAATTGTCAAGCCCAGTCCCAAAAATTAAAAGCTCGGTTACACATCTCAAATTTTTTCGAACCTGCGGCGCTCGATTCCATTATAACATCATTCTTCCACTCCTCTGTTGTCTTATACTGTCTCAGCACTATCATATTCACGGTTATACTGAACTGCCTAGTTTTGTTAGTAGTACCACTGGCACTGGTGTGTGGGTCGTGGGGCGTCAGACTATACAAAAGTTCTCTCAACTCTTGCAAAACAGGCGGAATTGACAGGGGGTAGATCTCGAGATTTTGTCTAATTAACTCACATTTCTGACCCCCTCGTCCACAAGAATTTCTCCCAGCAATGACCTCAAATGCTAAGATATTGACTCAATTTTTCAAAATTTTCTCAGGTTGCTCAGTGTTATAAGCACAATCATATATGACATAAACTTTATGTCAACTTAAATAAAACTGCTTTCCAGCGAGACAACGATCGGCAAACAACTATATAATTATACAATACCATCTATGTTCTACCGGGACGCTTAATGTTATAGCCAGTATTTTGTTGACATTCATTGTGGGGTGGGATTGTGGCTGAGGTCGCGCCCTAGATTTGGACCCCCCCCCCCCCTACCGCTATCTAGATCCGCTACTTCACATGGCCCCTACAAAACTCGCACCTGTGGTGCTCGGTTCCTGACTGTGTCACTCGTACTAGGGGTATGGGCATCAGTCGGTCGCATTTGCGCTAAACACCCCCCAAACAAAATCGTTATGTACACCCCTGTCCTAGGTTCACTTGTTGTATTAAATTCATATGCTTTATTTGAATTAGTAAAACGCTATTGAATTTCAGCAATTTCTGTAAATATCTTTTTGAGTTATGGCCTATGTTTCACTTTGTTGAACCCTGTAAACCCTCTATCAACAAGAGTTATCATTCGATCTGTATTAAATTCATCTGCATTATTTAAATTATAAAACGAAGAAGCCTATAGCATTTCAACATTTTCGTAGTTATGGCCCTTGTTACACCTTGTTTAACCTTGTAAACGCTCTAACGACTAAAATTATCATCGGATCTGTATGAAATTTATAGGCCTTATTTGAATTAGTAAAACAAAGAAGCATATTGAATGTCACGAATTTGCGTTTATTGCTTCTAGATTTCTGGCCCTTTTTTGACTTCGTTGAACCATTTAAACACTCTATAACGACTAAAGTTATCATCTGATATGTTTTAAATTTTGTGCATTATTTAAATTAGTAAAACGAAGAAACCTATTGAATTTCAGCAATTTCCGTTTATTAATTCTAGAGTTATAGCCCTTGCTTCACTTTGTTGAACCCCCTGTGAACGCTCTAACGACTAAAGTTATTATTCGATCTATATGAAATTTATATGCATGATTTTGATTAGTAAAACGAAGAAGCCTATAAAAATTCAACAATTTCCGTATATAACTTCTAAAGTTATGACCCTTGTATCACTTTTGAACCTTGTGAACGCTCCGACGACAATAGTTAGCGTCTGATCTGTTTGAAATTGATATCAGTGTCTTGTAAATGCACCCATTAGCTACAAAAGAATATGCGACAACCCTTGACGACTGCACGGACGATTTGGCTGCTGTTGGCGTATGTTTCGTTGCCTGATAACCTACCTTTAATTATAGTAAAACTAGATAGTGAGGGTATGGACGTAGAAGAATTAGATAGATTATTAACTCAACATAAACCCGCTGTTATACCGGAAGATCAACTCTTCTGGTCATTTATATATACCATACCTGTATATCACAACCCTACTGGTATATCATATTCACCAGGTAATGTACTATATTTTATACCAGGCTTTATACAGTACTTTTATGTCACATTTAATAGGTATTACCATATTCTTTAAATGGCATTTATTAATTGGAACATAATCAAATAACACACTATTTATGGATAACAATCACTATGGTTTATTTACTGCAACGTTTCAACAAGATTTCACAAGTCGTTATCAAGCATATAACACAAATAAATAAAAGAAAGATGGGTTTAACGTCCCCTCAACACAAACTAGGTCATTTCGGGACCAACATATGGTTTAATTGTATTTAAATAATTCGCTTGCGTGTAGGGGTCTTTAGCAGTGGGAGAAAACCGAAGGTCCCGGAGAAAACCCACGAGGTTGGACAGGCGACCCTACTCCTTGTCACGTACAACCGGGGATTCGAAACCACGCCAGTTGACTCAATGACAGGCATTATGGCATCCCAAACTTAGGCTGCCTGTCTATAGCTAGCTCCGCCTGCTGAGAACAGGCCCTAAACCAATTCCTACATCGACTATGTTAGTCGAAAACACTGAGTATGCTTTTAGAAGTTTTTAGATGTATTTATTTCTCTTCTATTTTCATATTGAATGAAATTAAATATGTTTATTTTGCCGTTGTGTGTATGAAAGATGTCAAACCGATCAGAGCGGAATCACGAAATAGTCCACTAATTATTCAATACGGCGGCGCCCATGAAAGATAATTTCACAGAAGGGGTTTTGTTCGCGAAGACAAATTTAGGAGTATCTATTCTTGTTTTAATAGATAAACAGATTGAAACTGTAAAGACAGTTTACAATGGCAAAGACTGTATGCAATATTACCCACTAGCACATATTATATATCGCTAGCTTTTACCGGAGTGGAAGAAGTCGACATTTCGCAAACTTTACATTCGTTTACATAAACCACGTGCTTCAGGTGTACAATGCAGTAGGCCAGTCGATAAGTCCCGCCCATAGTTCCAAAGTATGTAGTAAGAAACCATGCATGGGTTAAATGCCGGATGTGGCCACCGCTTTTAGTGCGTCGTCCGCTCCCCACGGCTGACAGTCGATCCATGGTGCTACATATTTTGTTATCATCCTTTACATTCTAGTAAAATCTCTGCAAAGTTTATAGCTTTACCTTTTGAAATATTTTGTTTTAATCATATTTTTGATTAGAGATGGATGAATTTTCTTTTGAATACAAATGCGTCACATAATGAATGACATTCGTTTTACGGGCCTTATATTTTACCCATGAATATCTTTAATATGATATAACATGATAAAATTTAACTATAGTACCGGGTATTTACAATTATTGGGTTATGATGTGATTTAAGTATTATTTACAACACATTAGAAGATAGTTGATGATAAAGAATATATTTACATTATGAACAATCAATTATTGCACCATGTCGAATCCAGTGATTACGTTTCTAGGGTAAGGAAAGATTTGTAATATAAGAATCTTCAATGAAAAAAATGAAATTAAACAGTTAGAAGGTTTAATGGATCCATGTGATTTAAAGCGTCGACACATGGATCCAAAATTTTCACAGTCTACAAAAGAATACAATAATAATAAATAATAATAATAATAGCTTTATTACCAATCAAGGGTCCACAGGGGACATGGTACAGAGCAAAAACAAAGAGAGAAAACCCAAATGACAGTCAAGTAAGAAAATATAATAGTATACATAGCTCCCAACAGGGGAGATACACATATAAGTACCTTATGCACTAAGGCTTCATGCCGAAAAAAAAACGGCTCATGAGAACATTATTATTAATCATGAAAGGGAGATAATTCCACTTAACTCTTAATGTTACAGATCAATATTAAGCATTACAGAACAGCTGTATTCATCCGCAAAAAAAATAGTACCTAAAATTCATGTACATTATATAGGTTTAAACGTCAAATGAGGTCAAATGAATAGAGACGTCTTTAATATATACTAAATATTCGTATCATCCCAAATCGACAATAAAACAGTGAGAAAAGGGAAAATCTAAGTAATGGCAATCTAATTAACATAAAATTTACGACATAATGGATTCTTCAATGTTTTGATGATGATCATGAAGAAAATAGGCCTACATCTGTTCTCAGGAATCCGATAAGATTTTCAAAAAAAAGATCAGTAGAATTATAGATTGTTCTTCCACAAAGTCGAAAGGTATGTTAGATTTTTCATTCAGTCAAGTTGAGCCCCAAACCCGATAGAAATGAAGGCGGAAGTGGCCATAATAGTTTTAGAGATCACTACGTGATGGCGCTCCTGCGTCGCGACAAACGGGGCCGATTTGTCTAGAAATGGTGGTGCGCTTCTTACGAGATCTTACAGCTTTCTTTAGCATTATAACCCTACCCAAAAAGGCACTTTCAGGGCTTCCGCAACACACTTATAGATGTTATTGAACGGTTATTATTGGATTGAAAGAATTGTATCAAATTGACTATGCACTCGGAAACTAGTAATTGTCTTCAGTTGATAGTCCTCGTTGTCCAAGAACAAACGATCGAAATGATCGCGTATTGTTTTGATTGGAACACGTAGTTGTCAAAATCTCTTTCAAAGTAAAACCACCCCTGCAACAGATCCAGTAGTTTCGTCCAACACGTGACCAAAGTCATGTCGTCTTGAACTCGGTCAAAAATACGTCAAATTTTTCAAGAGAAAACTTTTTTATTCGTTGAAATATATAATTCTGCAATGGATCTTATTTAACGGGGGGGGGGGGGGGTAATTTCAAACACACAGGTAAGTTTACAATAACCAAAGTTAAGTAGTTTGTTCATAATCGAAGAAATCCGTTTAAAATTCACCATGGTTCAACCAGTAAAAGGCCTAAGTAAGTTTACAGTAACTAAAGTTAAGTAGTTTGTTCATAATCGAAGAAATCCGTTTAAATCTTACGATAGTTCAGATAGTAAAATGCTTAGGAATCTTTTAGTTTATATATGACTTTATTTTCACGAGTATCCGTGCAATGGTTTTTAATATAAATCTATGTAATTGGCTTATAGGAGCAAAATCGCTAATATTTGGGACCTACAAATTGACACAAATGGGTCGCAACGCATATAATAATATGAATGAATATAAACTGATTTACATTTAATCGGTTCTGTTTTACTGTAATTTCTAATCAGTTATGTTCGGCGAAATACGCCACAAATCTCAATCGAATGGCAATCTAGCGCCTGGTTATTCCTGTCTACAACGATAGTATCTATTGCGCATGCTCTCCAGATAAGAATATAGGGTCACCGTTTGACGTGACTTGTGGAGGAATACTATATGTCTAGCCTCGTTCTTCGAGTCACTTGTTACAAATGGCGCTGAAACGCATTATGATACACGATTCGTGTACCAATGCTAAAATGTTTATTTTGCCTTAATATTGGATATCAGAAGCTCATCTTTTCCCGGTAAGATCACAACATCAGGGTTGATTTAAATTGATAAATAATTCGTGTTTTCAATGTCGAAGAATTTGAATGATATATTGAATTAGAGACTTAGTTACTTTAACAATGTAGGTAATATACCAAACTTATGTCATATAAATTCATACCTATCATATTCACCTGGTACCATTTATATATCATGATTATAAGGTAATATATCATATTTATTTAATTATCATATTCACCATAATGTACTAATTTATTATTTTGCTAAGTTATATATAACCCTTAATATCCATTTCTCGGATGCTGCAGAAAACAAAGCGGATGGTTGGTATATTTTTGGTTAACGCTAATTTCCATCTAATTGTTATAATATGTATTTGTTAAAATGTTTACCCAATCGTAGTATCTTTTGTTCTGAACCTCCATAGTTACACATGACCAATGTTAGGTGTTTATTTTTTTTTGTATGTATAGAAAGATGTCGTGCTTTAGTAGAGTGTGCTAGAAAACATAAAGTGTTGATCATAGCTGAAGATGTTTATAATTTACTATGCTATAATACACCACATCCACCTAAAAGATTGATAGCTTATGATAACCCGTAAGTTTAACAATAACTGTTGACCTTGGTATATTTGGGGGGAATTTGGAGAGTGGGGAAGGGGTAGACGATACTCTTGCCACCTGTACAATGAAGTTTTCTACATCTAGCCCTATTTATGATTCTTCGGGGAAAAGAAAGTGTAAAATGGAAAACAAATGTAAAAATATTCATCTAAAATCGACGCGTGTTCCTGGTTCATAGTATCACGGTCATACTTATTTTTAAAAATCACAATATATCAGGTGGGATTCTTGGCACTGATTATCCAGCTTATTAATGTCGATTTACATTCTAAGCCCACCGTGGTTCCAATCATCTCTCTAGAGAAATTAATCATGCTGTTCTTAATTTATCATAGTAAAGTATTAATGTGAAGTTTCACAATCTCAACACAGCGCCAAATTTCAAAACTTCGGGTCCATTTAAACAAACCCGTAGCTAGCCCAAAAAGTTGGGGTCCCCATGAGCTTATGGGGCGCCCATGTACCTATACTTGACCGTCCATGGCGAACGGCACCAGATGGCTTTCTTATGGTAGATTTCGTCGTGGGCGGCCCAGCGATCTCGGCATTATTGGCGCCCCTCCGGGATGGGGCACCCCACCAATCATGCCATTTTGGGTACCCCATTGATCGAGTCGTGGGCGCCCAACCAATCTCACTCGGCATTATGCTTTATGTGCGGCCCGACAATTGTCATCATAAGGCGCCCCACCAATCATGACATGTTCCTTACGGGCGCCCCTTCGGGAAAAGGTACCACACAGATGACGCCGTTAAGGGCGCCACATGAATCAAGTTATTGTGTTAATCGTGTGATTCATTATGAGGCGCCTATAACAACATGATTGGCGAGGCGCCCATAAAACCAAGTGACACTCGACTTTATGGGGCGTCCATACTGATATGGGGCCGGTTGCTCAAAGCTCTGTTATCTTTTAACGATCCGTTAACATGGAGTTAACGGATCATTAACTTTAACGGAGAGAAAGGTTGTTGCTGGAAGTCCCGTTAACTTTAACGTGTAGTTAACTTGGCGTTATATTTAACGGAGGTGTTGGTCTCCGTTATCTGTTTAATGATGGCATTAGTTGGCTGTAGCAAAAAGTCATAGATTACATTGTGCCTATGTAATTTTCTATAGAACATTCTAGAGGGTTGGGCGATGCGGGCCTATTCCATTTTCTATAGGATGAAATTCTATACTATTTTACAGAATTTTGGTGGCCTGTAGGAAATAATAGCCCCATAATTCTGTAGTGCAAATCCCATAATTTTTCCTACAGATTTATGCTAAAATTTCTAAAGGAAAAAATAAAGTATTCTATGGTGTTTTCTGTAGTAAATTCTAGTTATCTTTTTGTCTTTAATCAAGTTTTGTGAACAGACTGCACAGTTAGTTGTCTCACTGTCTTCAGTTTCTTGTTAATACTAACTTCTATGAAATTGTAATACATGTACATTGAATTCAAAAATTTAAAATTCAGCCAATGAACAAACAGTATTCTCTTGGATTAACTTTAATGAATCCGTTAGCTAACGGATAATGAAATTGACTTTCCAGCAACAGAAATTTAACGGACCGTTAACAAACGACAAGTTACCAAGATAACGATCCGTTAAACTCTAACGGATCGTTAAAATAACTTAGTTTTGAGCAACCGGCCCCTGGGCACTTTGGTCATTGGCTTCGTACTGCGTGCAGTGGAACGCCCCACCCCACCCACTCCGCTAGCTACGAGCCTGTTTAAATGAGGTTTGGTCTAAATACACGGATCCGCAGGATATGCAGTGCATCATTACTATCATTAACCTACGTGTTTAGAGATGGGGATTGGCGACCATTCTTCGCAATATGAGTCTGTGGTGACCTAATATTGATCTGGTGAGAGAACTATCTTAATTACGTCTATTCAGTTCACATTACAAAATATCCTAAAATTACGAATGTCGCAAGTCGGTTTCAGTCTATTAACTATATGAAGGACGTTACCTAAAAATGTGTTTTCCGATTGTTTAAAAATCAATGCCCACACTACCCCACCACCCCAATGACAAGTTATTTGATAAGTGAATGCTCAATCAAATAAGACGTACTTTAATTTTATTGCCCCCCGCCTGACTGTCCGTTCGTCTGTCTGTCCGTCACACTTTTTGGGACACAATAACTCTCTAGAATGTTCAAACTTGGTGTAGGTGTTTATTAGGTCAATGCCTTGATGGAGTTCGAAGATGAGCATTTTCTGCTTAGAGTAAGTAGAGATAAGCAATTTGATTGGTTGATGCTTTGGGACACGATAACTTTAGTTCTAATTAAGTGAGAGTGATGAAACTTGGTGTATAATTTCATTACATCAATACCTTGACTAAGTTCGATAATGAGAATTTCTGCTCGGGCTAAGTAGAGCGATAAGCAATTTGATTGGCCGAGACTTTGGAACAAAATAACTCTCCTTATAATTGAACTAGAATGTTCAAACTTGGTGTAGGTGTTTATTAGGTCAATACCTTGGTAGAGTTCGTTTGGTCGAGACGTTGGAACACAATAACTCTCATTCTAATTGATGTAGAATGTTCAAACTTGGTGTAGGCCTTCATTAGGTGAATGCCTTGATGGCTGTTCGATGATGAACATTGTCTGCTTACGGTAAGCAGCGATAAGCAATCTGATTGGTTGATTCTTGATGGAGTTCGATGATGAACATTGTATGCTTACGGTAAGCAGAGATAAACAATCTGATTGGTTGATTCTTTGGGGCACGATAACTTTAGTTAAAATGACGTGAGAGCGATGAAACTCCGAATATAGATTCATTATATCATTACCTTGACTAAGTTCGATGGTGAGAAGTTTCTGCTTAGGCTAAGGAGCGATAAGCAATTTGATTGGCCAAGACTTTGGAACATAACTCTGCTTTTAATTGAGGTAGAATGTTTCAACTTGATGTAGATGTTCATTAGGTGAATGTCTTGATTGAGTTCGATGATCAACGTTTCGAGCTGAACCTAAGCAGAGCCAATCGATTTCATTGGTCGATGCTTTGGGACAAGATAATCTTGATTCTATTTGATAGAGAGTGATGAAACTTGGTGTATAGTTTGATTGTTTGATACTTTTGAAAAAAATAGATGTGCTATTAATTAATATGTGTCATCTATTTTTTTTGGGATTTCGGCGGGTGACATCAGCCTCATTGTTGGCGTGTTTATTTTAAAAAGGGTTCACTTAATATACAGATATTTATAGTAGATATACTACGACAAAAAAACAACAGCATTGTCCTGTACAGGTTCCTCTATGCCAATTTACAAATGTTTGTATTTTCTAGGTCAGATCATAATTATTGTGGTAGTGTAGTCTCGAATGGTACATTTTCTAAAATATTAGCGCCCTGTTTTAGACTCGGGTGGATAGAAGGTCCTGATGTTATAGTGCAAAGACTGGTTAAAAGGTATGACTGATAACATTATGTGGCCACGATATTAAAGGGTCACGCAGAGAGAGGTCGTACATATTTTTTAAATTCAACTCAGTAGGTCACGTCGAATTATTACCATTTTAATGACAAAACTTGCAAATTTCAACCCCCATTCTTTATCATGAAAAACAAACGAATTATTTTCTTAAAGATGCATTATGTAAGATTTAGATAATAGTTCAAAAATAGATAATGAATATATTGAAAATTTTATTTGTAATTACTGTTTGAAGATGTAGCATAAATTGTTTATTAAACATGCATTATGCAAGAGCTAAATCTGATTATTGCAAGTCTTAATTTAGGCTTCAGATGTTATAGAAATTATAAATTAGATCTTTATTTAAACAACAAGACCAAAATCAACTCTGTAGACCCATGGATGGCTCGGCTACAGCTCGGATTTAAATAGGATTTCACTAATTGATTAAATCAAATAAGGGTTAACCTGATGAAAATACGTCAGTTAGATCGAAAACTTAGAAGAAAACTTTACTTGATAATCGAGATATGTAGGTGGAGTTAACGCCTGTCAGTCAAACGATCAGCGAAGGTGAAGACACAATTCGCTACCATTTCTAGGCAAATATTACAACGATGATAACTATGTTCAGAATAAAGTAATTTGACTGAATTTTTCAATATATTCTTCTTTCATCATCTACTTTTGAACTGTTATAGCAAGAATGGCCAACTCTCTATAAAAATCTCCCATAATGTATCTTTAACGTAGCAATTTTACTTAACAACCGAGAATAAGCCTCGATTATCCATTTTATCGTTAAATTTTTAAATCTCGCTGCAGTTCAAATCTATTTAAATCTTGGCCATCCGATGTTTTAGAGGGTTGATTCTTGGCTTGTTATGTGAATAACTGTCTCAATAATGATGTCAGAAAAAAGATCTGCAATAGACAGATTTGGCCCTAACGTAGTGCATCTTTAAAGATACTCTCCCACAAGAAAATGTTTATCGGGTGGTTATTTCCAATAAAAGTATGTCAATTTTGGTAAAAAATGGAATGTAGAAACATCCAATATTACTAGAAAAATACTGGATTCCCCGAAAAACGCACTTGGAGTGCATACAGGCGAAAAATGTAAGGGTTTCCCTAACCGGCGACCCGCAACGTCGAGTGACGTCGAAGGTTGCAGGCGAAGATTGTCTGATCTCTTAGGCTTTGTGCGTGCTTGATGTATAGGCCTATATTGATAAACTTGATGGTGAGCTTAAACGTACAACAGTTTCTGGGATTAAAAAAACAGCGGAAAAAGACGTGGGCAGTGGATAATCCGAGAATTTAATTAGGCTTCGATATTTATGATAAATGAACAGCGACTAAAGACAACATCGTCTTGTATATGCAATGAATTCTCTCCCGGCTTCGCACCCGTTGTTAGGTACTGCGTCAGCCAAGTCACGTGACACAAACATGACTTATTTTAATAGATTTTTAAAGCAGGTGTATTCCCTTGCGAATACAATATTCGGAGAAGGATTTGAAGCAAAATTGTGATAGAATATGTTTATATGTTTATAGTCAAAATATTTTCTCAAATCACCCAGTTTGTACACGGGAAGGTATCTTTAAGCATAGATAATATTTGTAGGCCTATTTCCCGACGTATATAGGAAGGTAAGGGGACCAGGGTTTACTTTTAGGGGTTTAAATGTAGTGGTAGTGGATCCTAAAAGTAATCTATGGCTATCGAAGTTTACACACTATATCACACAACGCAATTCAATGTAAACATTTAAGTTTGGTGAATTTCACCACTTGGGATAACATCTGCATAGTTATAATATGAATACTAGTGTGTCATACTTTCTACTTTTGTTTTCAGTTTTGTAGCATACAGCGGAGGAAGTTTTAATCATTTCGGTTCATTAATAGCTAGTTCAATATTGAAACTTAACCTACTTCAACCTCACATAGAATCTCTCAAGAAGATATACGGGGTAATATCCCTTTATTATTAAAACGCTCACGTTTTAGTCTAATAGATGCCTTAAAGGGGCATTAGGTAAAATTAGATAAAGAGCTGACAATTCTCGCTATAAATTGCAATAATTAAAAAATAGATAATGAAGACAGAATATGCTGAAAATTTCAGTCAAATTGCTTCACTCTGAGCCAAGATATTAGCGATTCAATATTAGGCAAGTCTCAAACGTCATTATAAACTTTAGGTTTGATAATAAAACAAGTCTCCATTATCCACTTTTACGTTAAATTGTCGATGGGATCGAGAGCTGATTATGGTCTGGATAAGTTAATTAATGTCTAATAAATTAGATAACATTTCAGGCCTAAAGAAAGACTTACAATATGCAGATTTAGCCCTTGCAAAAATTCATGTTTAAGTAGCATCCATCGTTTTGATTAATTGTATCGCATTTTATATATTTTGCAATTGCTTGATAAAGACTACGGAAGCCAAGCCGAAACGTTACTCATTATATACCTTACACTTGTATCGTTTGTACTGGTGTACTCCATGGACAAGGCAAACTATCATTGCCAACCCTCATCCAATGGTTTTTGCTTAGAAGCTTGTGCTTACAAAACCATCTGTAAACTTTCTGTATAGCATTGCACATACCGTAAGATTTTGTTTATACTCCGTATTAACCTGGCACGCAGAGAAAAACAATTTTCTCGGGTTATTAATATTTTGACCTTTTTTTTTCAGAGGAGAATGAAGATAGTTTGTGACACGTTGAAGAAAATCCCAAACATTAAATTGTCCCCTTCTGAAGTAATAGACTTTGTTTATTTGGGATTATGGGTGGATTTGTGATCATTCACATGTTAACTCTTTTACCGATAACCTCGTTAAACTAACTTCGCTATAGGAAACCAAAATTAGATGACTGCATAATAATCAGTTTATTACAAGGAATTCAGTGATGCTATGTATTTTGAATTTGGTGAAGTATTTAAGTATGAAATTGACAATTTATGATTATTGACAATTTTGTCCGGAAGTTATCAACAGAAAGACAGCGAGTTTAAAATAACTTCATAATGACCGGTGCTATTATGTTGTATTTGGTGCAGTTTCTAATGATGGAATTGGTAATTTTAAATGATTATTGCGTTACAAAGTGGGGATAAACTCTACCTCTGCAATGCCGGGTAACACAGCTAGTTATTTGTTTAACATGTTACTTTTGATTCCAATACTTAGTGTAAGATTTACCCTGTGTGTCTCGATTATAATTAATGGTCTTGCTGAGCCAGTTTACACTGCATGAATTTCTTCACTCGACCAGGATCCCAAGACCTGACACTCGAAACTTAAGTGGACAGTCACCAATATATTCCGGCAATTTCCGGACCGTTTGTGCACGTTTTCGTAACCCATGCTACAGGCGGAACGGGATAAGTCTGATAGTGGTTATTTCCAGTTAACATGCAAAGCCCAGTTGAGGCATGGGACTGAGTGGTCCAGGCCAAGCCCCGCGGTTTAGGGATCCCCCGTGGTTCATGGCAAAAAGAGAAAAAATTCAAATTCCAGATGAAAATTTTACGGTAATCGATCTAGCGGCGCGAGGACGGAGACTGAGCTATCCCACAAACTTCTCTGTGAGTTCCATTCGGTGATCGGTCTAGGCTTCTAGCGGCGCGATGGGCGGAGACTGGGTGAGTCTGCAATCCCTCAACCTTCTCTGTGATTATTCTGGTATTACAGACCGTTTAACTGTGTGACGCATGCGTGCCATTCAAAGGATATGAAATGATCTTTTCGTCACTTTAGGGACCCTCCGATTCTAGTCAGGCCCAGGTCCCCGCCCCCGCTCCGGTTAAGCTGGGCTTTGTTAAGATGTAGGACTGTATAATCGACCCTGAGAGTGGAATCCCGTAAAATAATTCAATGATTTATTTTCATATATCTTCCAATGTTGCGATGTTTGATGCATGCCCGAATATTATTATGCTACCGAAACATGTTTTCTTACAGGATCACTTATTTCCGCTATAACATACAATGTATTTGATTTATTCAAATGAATTTCCAAATGATATTTAGTTGTCCGGTTTTCTCTCACAGACATTTTAACTTCAGAAATTAATTTCCAGGGCGGATTCTTTATTTGGATTGAATTACCAAGTGAAATTGATAGTTCTGATTTAATGGAAGACGCAGTTAACAATTACGGTGTCTATTTCATACCAGGTGCATGGTAAGTGACTCTTTAAATCTAATCGGTCTTACACGTCATCGATTGACTGGTAATTTCAAATCCAAGCTTGTATGTGACATTGACAATTGACATAGAGCATGGTTGCCTGCCTAACCTTGTGGGTTCCCCCCCCCCCCTCTCTATTTCTTTCTCTAATTCCAGAAGGTAGCAATCTTATAAAACACCATTAAATAAAGCGAATCTCACTTCACAGAAAGGCATTGGCGTTTGAATGTTCATTTTGGTGGAGTTGACTATCTAATTCAAATTTACCAGAATAAATGTAAGCACGCGATAAAATCCACAATTTGTTTCTATAATTTCGAATCGTTCCCAGGGAGTTAGAATATGCTATCGAAACTAATTAAACATAAACAAATTTTACAGCTTATCGATTTATATGGCAATTGTTATAGCAACTTGGGGTGGGGTGGGGGTGCCTTTCGAGTGAATTCGGAAACTGATCTATCTAAAGTAATCCGTTAAATACGCGTCTACATGATTAATAGATAAATACAATAACATGTAATTTTTAAAATTGTCAGTAAAAATGTATGAGAGGTTATTATGTCTTATTAAAACACACAACTACCCGTAGAGGTGAAAGTGTCAATGCCTTGCATAGTTGTTTATTTTAACCAACACGATTTCCTCAATTACCAATTGACACCTTAAATATTATAAACTGCGATACTGAAGTACGAAATCTTTATGGGCATTCTTTTGATCATAAAATTCCCAAAAAAGTAATGGTCGATTCCCATCGCCATATATCTGGACTGGATTATATGTCAGGGCAGTTGACATATCTACATTTATTATCCAAGAATATTTATTACACATAGAAAGCACTTTGATCTGTATCAATTTTAAATTAGACTCTTATATTAAACGTACATTATGCAAGAGCTAAATATGCCTATTGCACTGCAGGTCTTTCTTTAGGCCCGAAATGTTATATAAACTATTAATTAGACATTAATTAATTTATACAAACGATAATCAACTCTCGATGCCATCTTATAAATGTGTCGGATTGTCACTGTATTTGAATCCGATCTGCTTCTCAACGCTCACTGGTGATTAAATCCAAAAATGGATAATCCAGACTATGTTTTTATCGACTATGATCGAGGCTAGGCTTAAAATTTAAAAGCCAATATCTCGGTTCAGAGTGGAGCAATTTGACTGAAATTGTCAACATATTCTATTTACGTTATCTATTTTTATACGCCCACATTTTCAGGTGAACATATTGTCGTCGCCCCTGTCCCACCGTCCGTCCACAATTTTTATCCGATTTTGACGAAACTTGAAATATAGGTCTATCGCGGTTCCTGTCGATATTGGCATGTATCGGACCATAACTTCATGGATTATGGCCCCTGAGTGTACGAAAAATCACGTTTTTAGCTTGTGGACACTCTAGAGGTCACAATTTTGATCCGATTTTGATGAAACTTGAAATGCATGTTTATAACCTAGATATCTTGTTCGCTGTTGATATTCGCGCATATCGGATCATGACGTCCTGAATTATGGCCCCTGACGGTACGAAAAATCGCGTTTTTAGCTTGTGGTCCCTCTAGAGGCCACAATTTTTATCCGATTTAAACAACCGTTTTAGTATATCACCGTTACACCCTGATGATGGTTGAGTTCGAATGTCGTGAAAATCGGACTAAAACTTTGGACAAAATGGCCGCCCCTTGTACGCAAATAGTGTAAACATCTGGTATATCAAGATTGTGGACCTCCTAGAGGTCACAATTTTGATCCGATTTTGATATACCATAGTTGGTATACCATAGTAATGAGTCGTTGGATTGACGTCAAATGTACATACTTTAATATGAACGATAAAAGAACATCAATTCAATTAAAATTAAACCAGATCGAAAGTAGTCGGCGGTAGAGCCTCTTTACAATTTTTTTTTCTATTTTTCAGCACTTCTCCTACCCGGTCGTTCAGTAATTATGTACGTCTGTCCATTAGTGCCGAACCAGAAGAAAAGATTGTTAAAGGCATTAACGCCTTTGTTAAACTTTTACAGGAAACTCTATCTAAGTAAAAGCGTAATGAACGAGGGTTGCTATATATAATTTTGATATAATAGATGTCTTTATAATAATATAATCCTTGAGCAGCATTTATCGAGTGACTTATAATATTGGAATATGTTTTTAAAGATACCTCCCAAGCGTACAAACTGTGCGATTTGATGATATATTTGGACTAAAAACATATTCAAACTAATCAATGTATCAGAAATTTGCTTCAATTCCCTCTGAAAACTTTGTATTCACCGAAGATACCTATAGCTATAAACGTCTATCACCCTAGCTTCATTGTGGGAGGGTCCATTTTTCAAAATGTATATATCATTACTTACTGTACATTTACCATACATATTGAGGCCTAAGTAAATTCTTAATTATTTTCTGTCAACTTCTTTTTCCGCCGTTTAATTGCAGAGTTTTCGGTACTTGACACCCCTCAATGTTCCCAAAACCGCCTAACCATTTGATCAAGAAATAACAGCCGCTCCCTCAGTCAAGGCAGCACACAATAAGGTGGCAGACAACAGTCGGGTGATACCCCAACAGTTTTGCCCAGTGCTTGCCCCATGGGTGTTTTTCGGGTAATCCAGTATTTTTAAGTAAGATTGAGTGTCTATACAAATAACCACCCGATAAATACTTTCGGGACAATGTATCTTTAAATATAGTCAAATGCACCCCTCTCTTGCATTCCGTTGCATCGCCATGGTGTCATCCACATACATTTGATTAAAATAAATATATTTTCATTGGGCCATACCTTTTTAAACACAATCGATACGTAATTCATTAAAGGAAAAATCCAAGATATATTTTAGGGAAGAAAACTGTTAATTATTTCCGAGTCCCAATCAATTGCCTGAAGCTCTGTGGTACGTTTTCAAAGAAATATCGACGTCTAGTTTGAGATGAGCGTCTTGTCTGTCAATCACTTTGTATCCGGATAGATCTGTCTGTCTATACCCCAGACGTGTGAGCAGTGACTTCGAGCTAAACGTTTCGATTTTTCGGTTGTTTTCCGGCGAGTGATATAATCTTGCAAGTTATTGGGACGTTGTAATCACCTCGGGAAAACGTTTACAAACGGTGTCAAATAATTGCATTTATCAGGTGCATGAATGAAGAACTGGGAGCGAGCACACCAAAAGAGTTACGTAACCCCCGTAAGCTGCTTTGGGGATCATTTCCAAAGGACTAAATGTTTTGAGTGTGTGAGTTAGTTGTACTTTACGCCCGCTTCCACCGAGGTGATATCGCAGACAAGGAAATGTTTTGACTCGAAGCTTCTGTTATATAGGGTACTTCTTCACATTCCGGAGTTACCCCCTCCCCCTTTCTTGCCGAAAACCTTGTGAACGCGATAGAGGTTATAGTTTTTAACGTATCTTTTTTATACGCCCACATTGAAATGTGGTTGTATATTGTCGTCGCCCCCGTCCGTCCGTCCGGGTGGAAGTTCTAGAGGCTAAAGTTAATATCCGATTGACTTTAAATTTATGCACATTGTTTAAGGTCATGAGACGAAGAATCCTATTGATTTTCAACGATACCCGATTATTACTGCCAAAGTTATGTCCCTTGATCACTTTGAAATGTCCTGTGGACGTTCTAGAGGTTAAAGTTAATATCCAATTGCCTTTAGATTTATACACAATGTTTAATGATGTGAGACGAAGAAGCCCAGCCATTTTCAATGATTTCCGATAATTACTGCCAGAGTGATGGCCATTGATCACTTTGAAAAATCTTTATACGCCCACAATTTTTATCTGTTCTAAGAAAATGTACGCAAATAGTAAAAAAGTGTGTAATACCAAGGTTGTGGACCCTCTAGAGGTCATAATTTTTATCCGATTTTGATGAAACTTTTTTAGTTGTTCTCTGACTGTTTCTTTCAAACTGTGAGCGTTTTTTTGTGAGAAAAATGTCATAGTCGTGTGTACTGTGCTTTATCCTTTATCATCAGATGGTGGGATGGGGTGGGCATTCAAAGTGATATAGACATATGCGATATCACAATTAATGCTTTACATCATAATGTCATCGTATTACTTGTATATACGCTAAAATGACGATAGAAACCATGTATTTTTCAAAATATTTCAAGGCCGCGGAGGCCCCCAAAGATACATTGTCTCGGGAACCAAGCACCCCCCCCCCCTCCTGCAGAAATTCCTGGATCCGCCCCTGTTGTGAACACGATAGCGGTCAGACTTCTTCAAGGCATTTGGCCAACATCCAAGTTTTCCATTCGGAGAAGCTGCTGTGTGGCTATCTTTTTGTATGTGTTCATAAAGTTGAGGTTGCAGAAAATGTGTAGCAATGACAATCTTTCAAAGGGTTTCTGGTAGAGACTCATATTTGTTTGTACTTAGAAAACGCTTCATCTATTCACCGAGGAGAATTTGGATTGAAAACCGACATCAGCCATTTATGTGTCGTCTCGTTCTGCTCTTTTTCTAAAAATGAAATGAGCACAATGCCGAAGATTTCTGCTACTGTGAAAATGGTGATAGTTCTACAAACTGAGGTACCAGGTGTTCTACAAGGATTTAATTAGCCGAGACCTGATTGAAGCAAACTAACGCCGCGGAACAGAATAGCCTATTAACAGTGTTAACACCATTAATCTGTACGTCGCCAAGGCAACGTTTTATATACATATCAATCAAAGAACTGATTAGTTTTTATGCGCACGTGCTAGCCAATTTTACAAACAGATAATGATTTCCATATATATGCCGCGGGAACAGTAATTATGATTTTAAATGCATTTCGTACTTAAAAAGATATACATCATAAGAGTATCATTTTTATACGCGCACGCATAGTTTAGGCATAGTCGTCGACCCTGCCTGTCCATCCGTCAACAATTTGCTTGTGAAAGCGTTAGAGGTTACAGTTTTTGACGGATCTTTTTCAAATGTAGTGGAAAGCCTTGGGGTCATTAGAGGACGAACTCTATCAATATTCAAGAGTCGGAGACCTTCCGTTCCAGAGTTACCCGCCCCTTTCCGAAAACCTTGTGTACGCGATAGAAACTATCGTTTTTAACAGATCTTATTAAAATTTGGAGGGGGGGGGGCATTAGGGTCATGCGAAAACGGGCCCTCTTGATACTCAGCCTTCCGCGACTTTTTGTTTCACAGTTAATATCTTTGGCGAAAACCTTTCGATCGCAATATAGGCTATAGTATTTATGAAGATGCTCAGTTGAATAACTTATTCCATCTCGTCAATCGCTTAGATAGAATTTGCTATGTGTGTGTGTGGGGGGGGGGCAGGCGCACCCCATCCAACCACGAAACTTTGAATAATTTATATCCATTTAATGCAATCTTGATATTGTACAAGGGTTAAATTGATGGATTATCATTGGAAATACAGAAGTACAACTATGTTAGCTATGCTTTTGAATTGGTATCCGAATCCGTATACTGTTTCGCACAAATGTGAAAACAATTCAGCACAGAAAGTTTGGAGACAGCAAGCCATCGATCAATGCGATACTGCTAATGGCTTGGAGATTTAAGCTTCATTTGAGCAATCTCAGTAAGTTTGGTAACAAATTTTGACGGAACCATTTAAAATAGATACACCTGCTTTTCTAGTACATATTGGACTGTCTTAATTTAGATAGGCGAAACAATAATTTGTTTTCGTTTTCAAAAGAAAGTCAAATAGAAGTTCAGTGATGAAGGTAATATTGTGGAAAAAAGAGGCATCATGCTACCAGAAATGAACAGAAATCGAAATTCCTGAAAAATAACCCAGTAATTTCCGGCGAATTTGAATTTATATATGGACATCATGCATGAGGAAGGGTTACCAAACAGTAGGTTAGATTATTCCTCAATAAGATTAAGTATTGGATAAGCCTCGTGTGGTGCGGTCAAATCTACGGCAAATTATTAAACTAAACTTGTATGGTATAGCTCAATGAGATGTCGTTAATTTTCTTTATAACTTTAGGACTTGTTTGAAATAAGTTTGATGTCGACCAACTATTGAAGGAAGGCTATGACAGCATTTACTAGTATCAGCCTTATCTGTTTATTCATTTTAATTTCTCCTAACCACCATCATTTTATATGGATCCTCGTGAAAAAAAATGTTTATTGTTTGTCATTATTAATTTGTGGTCAGGTGCCATAAAATGCACAATCAAATTAAACTCCAATGACGTCACTATAATTATTCCCTGTAAATAAATCCCGACCTTAATGACTTTTTGATCTTTCTGTTATAGCTGGAGGGTAGATTATCCAGTCAATATTCCACTTATCTCGCATGAAATCGAACGTATAATCTTAGTGCCAGTGGGAGTTAATAACTCAAAGCTATATAAGTAGGCTTATAAACTATTGTGTTTTTATGAAGTACAGTAATCTAATTAGATGATAATAAATCTAATACCAATATCCTCATTTCCTCCAGTGATAATTTAGATAAAAGAGAAACAATAACAAAATAATCTTCGAACGAGACACAGTATGTTCGAATCATGGTCAATATATAATTACACAGAAAACTAGCAATCCATTGAAAATGGGACTATGTCAGCAATATCTACTTGAAAACAAATGAAAAGAAAGAAACAACTAGTCTTCAACGAACAGTCCCTACCACCGCATAGAGTTTGAATAAATTTTGACGAAAGAACACAAGCCGTACTATTCTTTGTTGATGACAAATATCAGTTCGAATCAGTTCGTCCTACTAATCACCGACAAGAACGATTTGTTGTCAATAGCGCCCAAAGTATTGAAAAAAGTGACCGACTGTATATTACATAATAATTATGCATAAACCGACACAAAAATCTGCGGTTCTAGCTGACTGTCAGACTTTTGAGGCGTGGGTTTGTCGGTTTTTACAGTTTTTCCGTCTGTTACCAGATTTACCCAGAGCTTTTTAATGAGCATTTACAATGAACATCTATATTATACGTTTATATCCTGGCTCAGTAAATCTAACCAACCAATATATTATTTCGGTACCGCGATTATAGTGAAACTACAGATTTCTACAGCGTTATCTGTAGCGACGAAACATCCGATAAATAGAACTTAAACAATCGAGTGTCAAAAACTAACTAAAGGTCACAATAACGATAGGTATATAGTCAGGTCAATTAGCTCGATATTTACACAGAATCAATCTCTTTTTTTTTTCAAAAGCATAAACATTGGCACATTGGTATAGATGTTTATGTTTTCTTTCGAATAACAGTGGGACACACGTGATCTGCCATTATTTTCGGCCATCATTTTGGATTCAAAATGGCCACCTCTGTGATTTGAGCTATTTCAGCTTCACGGTAGAAGACTGATATAAGTGTCGAAATCTATATTTTAGCACCCACTGAACTCATCAGAA